GAGGGTATGATGATTTTTGAACATAGAAAGGATGTTGCGAGCAAAATGAGAAAAGGTAGCAATTTGCAGTTCAGTAAAGTATCCATGTATCCACATATGAGCATCAGACACCTAGGCAATAGTCGAATTTCCAGCTCAAAAGTATACAAATATCTTTCTGTAAGAGTCGTAACCCTAAAGATCATATCCCTACTATATTATGTACCTGCCATGTTTGCTACACATTTCAGGGCAATTTTAACAAATACATCCTTCAGCTATCCTGGCAGCTCTGTATGCCCAAGAGTATCTCCAGCTTCGGTGGCTTCCCTACCCATTTATTTTTGTTGTTGCAGTTGCAATTATTACTCTTGTTGTTGCTGCTGCTGCTGCTGCTCTCATGATGCAGAAGCATTTTCACGTTTTTCCCAACGCCTTCAAAATTACACGCAAATTACAATGCATAACGAAGAAAGCTTTCATTGAGGAAAAAAAACAAAAGCGAGCGAGCGGGAAAAATTCCTTTCCGTTTCCTTCTGCCATTCGACTTTTTGGCTTCCTCCTGCCTGCCCGCCCTTTACGCACTTTGGCCCGCCCACTGGCTGGTGACCTCGTTGGCCCCTGCAAAGGAATGCAAAAAAAATAAAAGTTTTCAGTCAGCTTAATTACATTGTAAAACTCATTGGCAGTCGGGGACGATTCATTGGAGTTGGAACCTGTAGTTGGAGTCGAAGCTGGAGAGTTCTGTGTGGCATGGCATTGCATCTTTCTGATGCTTGCCACGCTGTCTTTGTGGTAATTAAATTGAACTTTTGTATGCGGTTTTTGACAGCTGAATGCATTTAACCGTTCCGTTCAACAAGGTGCAAAGTGGAACAATGAACGCTGTCACAGCAGGCAGCAAGCAGAAGCAGCAGCCGGCAGCAGGCAGCAGCGGAAACAAAGAAGTCTTCAATGGAACATCCATTCGTTTGAGGTTTATAAATGCATTGAATTTATTTCCCAATTATCCCATTTTGCATACAGAAACTTTACAATTTAAAATGCTCAGAATGGTGGCTTATCTTTCAGCTAGCATAAGATGAAATCTTGACTGGTCATAAAAAACTGTGCAGCATATAAAGTTTATGTCATATTGATATCTTACTTCCATAAGCATTATATTTCTATACAAATGTCACTTAAATCATTGCAAAAGGTTAGTCCAGTTTGATATTCTGCTCTGCTCCAAAAAAGTTTTCTTTCTTGATTCTAACAACGAAAATACCAACTCATTTATAGAACAAATATAGACCCATTTATTATTCGTCTAAAAATATCTGTATTCGACCTTTCGTAATACCTTTGGGACACACTGTTCGCCGCCACTTTATGAAATTAATTTCTGTTTGGCCATGTCCCAGGGAGTATACAAGAGGGACTCGCTTCATGGGCAGCTGTGAGTGTCAAGGTTGCGTTCATCGCCAAAAATCTGACCCGAGCAACCCAACTTGCGCGTTATTTAACTTGAAGAAAAATCCGTGAAAATTCTCTTTAAAAATTCATTGTCTACGTTTTGTTGTCGCGACCCTTTTGATCACTTCTTGGTGTTGTTTTTGCTGCCTTAACTATATGTTTATTCATATTTTTTCACGCTTATTTTTGTCTGTTTTTTGTTTTGTTTGCTGACGGTCTGAGCTTTTCGCACGCTGGCATTTTTCACTCCTTGAATGTTTTCACATGCTTTTGTTGTTGTGTGTGCGAAGGTGATGTAGCCAACAGAAATTCCAGTGGCCTGATGCCAGCCAACTTTGACCAGGCACCAACATTGCGAGTGTGTGCGAGAGTATTAGTGAGTGTGCGAGTGTATGCATCCATGGGTATTTGCGCTGGTTTTCCAGTCACTTGTTGACGGTGTGAAACTGAAGCCAATGGGAACGGGGAACAGTCGTTTACCCTTCCGCTGTCGCTCCTAAAAGTGGTTTATTGGGTTAACGGTTACGGCTACGACTACGGCAACGGCGGCTTAAAGTTATCGCTTACTGCCAGGCTGGGCTGGGGTGTCTGATGCCAATGCGAAAACTTTAATATGGTGCGAATCAGGGTACGGGAATTAACCAGATTAAGCGGAGATTTTCACAGTCAAAGTTACGGATGCATCAGAAGTTGCCTGAAGTTTTAATGGGAATTGTCAAGGGGCACAGGGACAGCGCACAGCTGAAGGGAGAGAGATCAATTCAATGCTTTTTCCATCGCGAATAACCAATTGATTTAAATTGTAGATGAAGAAGTTTTCTTTGAAGCAGATACAAACAATATATACACTTGATTTAATATTTATTTCTATCCATAAACGAACAGAGTAATCTGTGTCTTTGCACGGTACTTAGCTGCTAGTTTAACAAATCAAAAACTAATAAATACCAAAATAAAAATGGCAATTAAATAGCAAATTTAAATCACCATCAATAAAATCCGCTTCCCCTTAATGGAGCATTGCGAATGGGAAAAAAATGTGTTGCCTTTTAATTTCCATGCACAGCTGACAGACAGTCCATCAACGGTTGAGATGTCAGTGGGTGGGTGGGGTGTTCGAACCTGCTGTTACCATAATTTTTAGCCTTGACACCGCCGTGTACCAACAACAACCGCTGCCAGTGCCATGTTCGCTGTCCGCCTCGCAGGATATTTATGACAAAAATTTCAAATTAATGATGTGTGACATGAAATTCTCAACAAAAAACGAAGGAAAAGAATAGCGCAAAAATTACAAAATAACAGAGCAGAGTGAAATAAATACGCGTAGACAGGAATGTAAAAGAGAGTGAAGAGGGGGAAATTTTATAAAATTGTGCCGCAGCTGACATGAAAATTCCTAGAAAAAATTCTAAAAAATATACTATATAAAATAAAATGGAGAATGAAACTAAATCCGGGCATTGTCCACAGCAGCAGCAACTATCACAAGAGATCGGAGGTAAGTGCCGCTACCCAAGAAGATATACATCACAGTTCTAGAAATTAAGTGGGCATCACATCTGCGTAGGTTGAGCTCTGAATAAAAAGCAGTCTGTGGTCCAAAAGTGCCAGCAGCTCTTACTGGTGTACCTTTTCCCTGAGAAGAGAATATTCTGAATGTTCTCAGTACTCGAATAAATCCACAACACAAAAACCATTGCTCTGGTCAATTTTATAGTGTCCTGGATTTATATTTCTTAATTTCTTTACCATTTACAACCAAAGTTTAACTCCGCTTTATTCCTTTTGCTTTCTGGGCACATTATCCCTGAATTGACCCACAACATTGCCAGGTGGATTGTAATTGCAAACCACCCAAGTCCTGTCCGCTCTGGGGAAGGAAACAACATTTAAGTCAGAGGGAAAAAGGCCACTTCATCGACTGCAACTCACTTGCGGGCCACACCCGAGCCCATCTCCTTGCAGCTCTTCCAAATGAGCTGCGTGAAATGGCCCGAGGTGGGCGTAAACTCTGCCTTATCAAAGTTATAGGCATTGATCTCCCGATACCACATATCCACGGGCAGATCACCCGTCACATCCATGCCGCCCGAAAGGAATATGTTTTCCCCATACTTGGGATTGGGTCGATGTTCCATGACATTCTTGTCGCGCAGGTGCTGGGTGCGAAGAGAATTAGGAGTGCACTTCTGACAGGACTGTAGTACACTGTACATACATTGGCCCACTCCTGGGCAATTTTGTTGAGATCATTGTTGATCGTCAGCGCCGGGCAGCCGTGCAGGCCCCGACATTTGTTTGTGGCAGTGAAGACCTCCTTCAGGAATAGATCATTGTTGGCCTTCGTATCCTGTCCGCGGGGACCCGGTGCACGCGGCTGCGTTTTTGGTATGGGCGCTGGTTTCTTGGACATGGAGTTTAAATTTTGATGTTTTTTGTGTGGGGGGAGCACCCAGGACAAAATCAACTACAATTCAGTGACATTTAACGCAATTTTCTCTGATGTTTCTCTGATGTTTCTCTGTTGGAAAATTAGGTTGTACTTTGCCTAGACTTTTTCTATTCATTACCGAAATTAATGGGATATTTCTTGGCTATGCCAGTGTGCAAAAGGGTAACATATCCATTCCTTAACTCCCTGATACTTACTCGGATTTCGCTACTAAATACTTGGGCTATCAGTCAGACGGATGGGGGATGGTGTGTGGGTGGTAAGTGTCTATGTCTGAACCCTTTCAATCCCACCCACCTAATTCCACATAACATCCAGATTAACATTGTGATTGATACCGCAAACAAGGGAGCGACTTGGTAGGGGAATGTGGATGGATGTACCCGCCCATAGACATAGATTAGACAGGCTGTCAGTAGGGCCGCCGTCACACACACAGGGCGCGCGGCTCCAAAAGACAAGACATTCGGTTCGTTTGTCTTTGATGAATGGCTGAGCCAACATGACGTATGAGTGATGTATGAACGATTGGCCTGATTATTAATGAGCGAGCGATTCTTTGCCATATGTTGCCATATCTTAAATCATGAAAGCCCACGCCTAGACACATCTGAGTGGCATTAATTGCCGATTGAGTCAAGTAGAATTTGTCAGACAGGAGCCGAAGCAGAAGCAGAATCAGCAGCAGCAGCAGCAGCACCAGCAGGAACAGGAACAGACATGGCGGCTGCTTGTCTTCCGTCCGCAGCCTTTCGCTTATCGATGTCGAAACACACCGAACATTCGATTATTGATGTACGTATGTGTTTGTGTGTGTGTGTGTGTTGGGTGTATGGGTGTGTGGTGTGTCGTGAGTGTGTACTCAGTGGGTGGGCGTGGGGGCAAGTGTGAATCCTTAATGAGTTGTGCAAATGCAAATCAATGGCACTGATGTCCTGCCAGGGATTAAGCCAACTCGACTCGACTCTTTGAAATTATCAGCACTGTGCATAAAGGCCAAGGCCCATATACTCGTATCTACTAACTAGCAGATACTAAGCAGATACTAAATTAAACGATATACATGGACTATGTATTCAGCTCCGACTAACTGATTTAAATAAGCTTCCGTGTGTACGGGAACTTCATTGAACTTTATTTCATATTGAAAAATTTCATTCGTTGGATCATTCTTCCGCGTGAGCACGGAATTTGTGTCTCCGAAGATTTCCGGATTGACTAAACTTCATTTCACACTGATCGCATTTAAACGGTCGCTCTCCCGTGTGTACACGAGTGTGCACCTTGAGATCGGAATTTCGGTAAAACGAAGACGAGCACTGGGTGCATGGGTAGGGTCGCTCCCCTGTGTGCGTCCGGAAGTGACGCCCGAGAGATCTTCTATGGGAAAAAGACTTCGAGCAGCCAGAACACTTGTACGGTCGTTCGTGTTCGAGACTACGAACATTCGCTGGATCTTCCTCTTTATCCGCCTCCTCCTCCATCAGGTTGAACGCACTCTCTGCATCCTCCAGGCAAGGTGGGCAGATGTGTTCTGGCAGCGAATCGCCTCGCCCCACCACGTACCCGATAACCTGAGCTATCATGTCAGCACTGCAAGTTTCCCTGTTCTGCCCCTCGTCGAATGTGTTTGTGAATGCTCCGGACTTTGCCATGCAAACTCTGCATGTTTCCTCCATTGTTCTGTAAATGAATAAGATTTAATGTAAGGAATACAACTATGGAAACACACGCACTTGGAAACAATTCACAAACAACCAAATCGAGCGGCGGCTCCAAGTTTCGTTTAAATTAAATATTCAGCAGAGAACAAAATGTGAAATGAACGCCATATTGAAAGTAGGGCTGCAAGACCGTCGCTGGAACGATAGGTAATATCGATGGTTTTTGAATTTTGCAATAGTTTGGAGTCTAGAAGTCTAGACAATTAATAAAGCGCACTTAAAAAGCATTTAAAAAAGCCTATTAGATAATTAATTGTACAATTTCGTGGTGGAAAAGATACTGTTTAAACAAGTGGAATAGTTACGATGAGCAATTGAAACAGCAAAATGCATCACTGTGTGATTTTGCAGCCCTAGTTGAAAGCCACAAAATGCTTGATAGTACCGATAAGCTTGATGGTCACATTTGAAAAATAATTGCAAGCTTTGTTATTAATTCGATAGTTCTAGAATTCGAGAAGTTCCACGTGGCTTTTGAGTAAACAAAATTCTGTGACTGGAAAACGCTTAAATGAACACTTCCGATGATGATCCACTCGACTCCAATGCTCAACAGCTGGCGGAAATGAGCAAGGAATTGCAGCCCAGAGCTGATCGACATCCAATAAGGTACTATGAATTGAAAAATCTGTCATAACATCGTGCGGAAGGAGGACAACGGCATTGGAGGGTGACGAGTATAAAGTAAGACTTTTTAACAGAATTAATTTGTGAACAAAAACCCGCTGACTAGCAAATCTCACTCTGCCACTCTTTTAATTTATAAGTACTGTGTCTCACGTTCAGAGTCAGAGTCCAGAGTCAACGGCTTTAAACCTGCTAACATTTGTCGTTTCCATGGTGCTGCCTCGATTGTGATTCACAGTCCCATTAAACTATCCGCACAATGCACATTTGCGGTGCCCCAGGAGTGTAGTGAAGTGAAGTGTGTGATGCGCGTGTGGTACGGTGCAGTTCCGAGTGGCAGGCATCCATGGTGTATTATTTGGATTGTAAAACTGGCCGCAGTCAAAGCGTTAAACCAAAGCGCACACGTTACATTGCTGTCGATTTAATTAATTTCGCAAATTTGGTTTTCGTTTATTTATGCATTGTTTGGGCGTGTGACGGGTCCATGGCGATCCGCTGCAATGTATGCGGGCATTATCCATTGCAACATACATATACCATACACCAACGAACACACACTGGACAAACATTTCCATGCGCTTGTTGCAGTGACACAACCGCACAACATCTGCTGCCGGATGCGCTCGATTGCACAGGCAATCCATGTTCCGGATTGGCATACGGATTCACATTCAGCTTCAGCTGCGTGGATTCATATTCGGGATACACCGAGTGCCACTGAAATGGTATTGGCCGTGTTCTGGCATTAATCGAGAGCACCTCAATTAAAGCAAACCGAATGGAAAAAGTGCACAAAAAATTGTGTGCATGGAGAGAGGGAAAGAGCGCTGTTGGTTTGCATGGAAGAAAATAAAATATTATTTATTATTTATTTTTGTTTACAAAATTGTAGCCTAAGATAACTCCTACAGTACAATTAAGAACATAAAAGAGAAGATAAGGTAAATTATTATTTATTTTGTTCAGGAATCTATGCTTTTAAAATATTTTATAAACAATTACGTTAAAGCTCTCTCTATCGGAAAATAGCCATCCCCAACAAGGGTACTTCCGAGTGAGTATGAACCAAGAATGAGATTAAATTAATGGTGCTCAAAGAACACAGTGCTATACGTGTAATACAAATTAGATAGCCCAAAGATAGATCCTGTAAAATTCCTCTTTCTTCATGTTTATTCGATAAAAAATTCTCCCTATTCCAGCTGCTAATGGACATATCTGAATAGCCTGAAATAGATATCTCTACCCCTGTGCAGCTACTCGCATATCACTTCCAATTAAAACCGCACTGCCCACTCCCAAATGAAAAGCTTTTTCCGCTTTTCCGGAATTCAATTAGCCGTTGCTCGTTTGCTTGCCTCCCACCCAACCATTTGACCCTCTCTATAATGTCATTTAACTGTAAACTACAGTAATGGAAATAAGTCACCCGCGAATACCCCAAAAAAAAAAAAAAAACAACAGCAACATGCACATGCACTCCTCTCTCACTCGAAAGCTCCTTGAATCGCTGATCCGTTTGCAGCCAGCGGCACAGAGGCAGCCGATTGGAAATTTTTCCACCTAAGCGACATAAAATTTGCTACCAAATCGGTTTATGGCCAAACGAAAAGTTTGTATTTTTTCTGTGAATATTTTCTGGTGTGGGGGGGGGCCCTAGGAGGAACATTCTCGTTACGTTACTTTTTGTCCCCCCCCCAGCGAGCGACTTGAAAAAATTGTTGTTCGTATGCGTATGCCTGAATGCCACAGACGTAGACTTTTTGGCGTAGAAATTTTTGGAAATTGCATATTCCACGTACCGACATGTGTGTGTTTGTGTGTGTGTGTGTGTGTGAGTGCGGAGGGGAATCACACATTCTACCCCCCCTTACGGCCATAAAAGCTAAAATGTTTGCGGCTCAAACGAAATGCAGAAAGAAGCGTAGGACGCAAAAGTGGATTACGAATGGTGGCCGCCAATGCCTCTCAATGCCGCCCCCCCCCCCACGTACTCCTGTCATTCCATGCTGCACGTAGCACCAAAAAATCGCTGTTGCATGTGCCGCCTGTCGATTCCTGTGCGCCTGTTCCGAATGCCACCTCCCCAGATGGGCGGCGCGCGGTGTACACTGTACACAGGAACGTGTCTGCGAGTCGACTCCTTTTTGTCTTTTCAATTGAGCGGGTTATGGGCAGAGAGTCATGCCACACTGCCCCCGCCACGGGCTAAATGGCCGGGTCCGGGCTCTGGCTTTGGCTCCGTTGCCCCGTTTTTATTGGCTTCGAGCACTGATGCAATAAACTTGGCTAAAAGTTCTCGCGTCAATCGGTCGCTAGATTTTACCACCAACCCATCCGCGGGATGTGTGTGTGTGTGTGTGGATGTGAAAAGTGCGTGTGTGCCGTGCCGCTGCCTGATGCCTCTCTGAAAGCTTCGTGATGAGGCAAGAAATCTGCAGAATTGCGCCAGTTTGAAATACATAAAGTTGCAGCTTAGCTCCAAGGAACATTGCAAAAGATTGGATTTTATTTATGCAGAGCAAGAAGGCAAGCAAAACAAGGCATAAAAATATAGCTATAGTTATAGCAGCTATAACATAGCTATTAGCTATTCATAGTTATAGTAGCTATAGGTTTAACGTTTAATAGCAAATGGAACTGCATTGGTTTTTGCCCATAAAAATAAATCCGTAAATATGCGCTGTTAAGTGAATAACTTGGCAGTTCATTGCCTCTAAATATTCACCCTAAAATACCAACAATAAAGTACATTATTGTGCGTATAGTTAGAGTATCTATTTAAGAACGTAATTAGCATTAAACAGTTAATATCAATTACATTTTAATACCCCTGTTGAAAAGTTGTGTAACCAGATATAACCAGCTCAAGCTGTATATTTAAATGTAACCTAACCAACTTCATCAGAATTGTTTTAAATTAAGTTTTACATTGTTTTCAATTCACTTTCATGGCACAGGAATAAATCAATTCCGTGGCAATAACTGCACCGAAAAATTGTACAACTTTTTTGTTGCTGCTACAGCCACTGCCACAACCAGACCGAAACGAAACGAAACAATTTGGAATGCATTTATTGGCACAGGCAGCTGCCAGTTTTTATTATGCTCATCAAATGTGTATAATTCAATTTTTCCAATCGAAGAAATCGCAGCACGATTCGCTTTTCGCATACGTTAAAATAAATGGCGATAGGGTCACGCCCCCTGCCCCCCTGGCCCAACACTTTCAGCTTTCCATACCATTTTGCTGCACTTTACACCCCTCCAAAATTGGGTTGGAAACAATCGTCGTACATTTTCCATTTTCAAGTTGCAGCCATAAATCATCCGGGGCCTTGCATTTGCTTGCATTGAAAGTTTTCATTTTCCTTTTTGCAGCTGCCATTTAGTTTGGTTTTAGGGGTTTTTTTTTTTTTTTGTTTAAACAGTTGGCATCGGTGCATTAATCATGCGACAGTGCTGGAGTGTCTGCAACATGTGTGCAACTTCTTTGCTTGCCGAATGTTTCTTTAATTGCTAAACCCAAGAAATCTTTGACATTTATTAAAACAATAAACAAATCATGATGTGAGTGCCCAAACGGGGAAAGAGTGAGTCGCAAATGCACTGAGGGAGCTTAAGCATGTGGCTCACGTACAGTCCATAAATATTTTAATTCTTGACAAAAATTTGTTGATAGTTTTATGGGCGACATGTCTTCAGCTTAAGTATCCTTTTAGCCCGAAAACAATTTCGCATTTCAATTTACGCTTAGATAAAAAAAATAAAAGTTTTGCTCAAGAAAACTTGCATATAATAATATAAAGTTTATCATGTGATTATTTGATGGATTTATTTTTGTTTCTGACGATTTAAGTGGAGACTAATGGGTTTGCTAGGACAGGAATAAAATTAATATGATGCGTGCGAGGGGAAGTGCCAAATTGAATAAGCGAATAGAAATTGGAAGCTTACTAGCTTTCTTTATGTTTTTCCTCTCTCATTTCCTCCCAATTAGAGTGCCATAAATCATTTCAAAAATTCGCTAATCTTTTGTAAAAAACTGCAGCGATATTTGACTTGCAACCAAAGAGAAAAATATTCTTTCCCCAAGGAAGTTGACTTCCCCTCAACTAATTTGTCAAAAAAGAAAGTCACTTCCTTGGCATAAAAATCATACAAAGAAACTGTCAAAGGGGGGAGGAGGCGAAGGGGAAACGAAGCCCAGCGGTGCATAAAACTTGAACAAACATATGTAAATATTTGTTTACTCTGGGCAACGCTTTCCCCTCCCGAAGATGCAACTCTGTCTGCAGCGCAACTTTGTAAAAAAAAAAAAAGTAAAAAACGAACAACCATTTCGATTACCTCTCCGTACATTTCCGTAGCGCATCCCAGGGTCGTCCCTTTGAGGCAGCCAACTTTTGCTCATGTTTCCTCTGCTGCCGTTGCTGCTGCTGCTGTTGCTGTCCCAGCTGCCCCAGCTGCTTGCTGTTTACGGCTTCTCGTGTTGCACTCTGCCAAGTACGAGAAGCGTACTCTCCATTGGGATGCAATTAAATACTCCGCCCGAGCGGACAAATAACAGTAGCTATGAACCTTCCTTCATCTGGCCCTCTCCCTTCCTGCCTCTCGTTGGTGTAACGAGAGGAAAACAATATTTGCCTTTGGTTGCTTCACTTTGTAAGTTCCTTCATTTTGCTTGTCATTTTTGTGCTCTGTGCTTCTCGCATTTTTTTTTTCTGCTCTGTGAATTTAATGCTTTGGATTGCGATGGTTTGCATTTAATTAAAATGCCAAAGGTTGAACCACAGCAATATTTAGTTCATGCCATTGACTATTTGTTTTCGTTCATTCTGTTATATTCTGTTCATACCTTAGAGTATTCCCGCTTGGTTTTTTTATGTATTTCTTTATTTTTTTCACAACAAATATTTAAATTAAATTGGCCTGCACTTTGGTTGTTTTGCAGATATTCTCGCAGTGCTGGTAGCAGCTGATGATTCGTTGCGTTTACTTATTTTAATTTATAATGCAATTGTTGGCTCGAATCGGTTCGTTTCAAGCAGCAGGCGACTTGCTCCTCCCTCCCCCCAGACACAGTGGAAATGGATATGGCTAAGCACGCGTGTTGTGTCGCCGTCTGTCGCATTGTCTTTCCCCGTGTTTGCTCTCCGGAGATTTACAACGTGACAGCGCACAAGTCCAAAAGTGCCGTAGCGATGAGGCAAAGGAGCAGCAGACAACGGCGGAGCGCCTTTGGGTGCAGAGGAGACACCTCTAGGTGGGGAAGTGCGCATGGCGGAGGCCCCTACGAGTGGTGAGGTGCGGGCAGTCATGCCGTTGGAGACCCTTTGGGTTGACCCCAGGAGCGCGCACCTGGGGGACACAACTCGAAAGCCTTCGACGACAGCGACACGTGCCAAGGACACTGATTTATATGTTTTCCATTTTTGTTTTATTAGCGGCCTCTCGTATCTCCCCCATTCCGTCTGCCCTCTCTTCTTCTCTTTGAGAGCACGGAATCGTGCGTGGAATTAATGAGCCTTTCCCGTCCCCTTCCCTGCCATTTAATTTCTGAAAACTATTTCCCATTTTCCGACGCGCCGCGCCACACCGCACCCCACCGTCTTTAAAGTGGTCTGCTGAATGCGCAAATTAAAACGAGCATGAAATAATCATAAATTGCGCATTGGCGCATTAAAATTTCCATCGCTTAAAGTCAAGTTTCCATTTGAAAGGGCGCCCACAGAGCCAGACACAAACGGGGCAGCGGGCAGGCAGCAGGGAGCAGCAACTGAAGCTGGGTAATGATGGAGCTGGAGCATCCCAGACAGACGCACACAGTGGACGCCTCTCTCGCCTCCACCAATCCTCGTCAAAGTGCGAGGTGGCACGGACGGAAGCTGGCCTGGCCTGGCAGCAACAGCAGCAACGGAAATGGCTGCGTATATCCGGAATGGCAGGGGCGGAGCCCCAACTCTTTGCCCCCCCCATCGTTGGCAATAGTTTTGCGGTGCTTTGAATGCAGTTGCATTTGAATGTTTTACGATATGAATAGATTGTGGATTGTGGATTGCTGCGGGGAGGCCACCAACCTATGGGGTGTTCCGGCTTGGCATTTCCACTGGATTTTAGCAGGGTTGATATGGAAATGAACCGCTACACAGGTATCGTTGGTAATCGTGCAGCTAACGATGTGATTGTTGGTGTTGTCTCATCTGCAATCACTTCAAAAGAAAGCCTGCAAAAAGTGTGCAAATTTTTATTAATTTTGTGACAAATTTCAGTCGAATCCCTTTGCCACACGAATCCAACCACGTGCCTGTACTTCCGACCATCTCTCTTTATCAGCATGCAACCAGCCGGGCCATCGTCCTCTCTGGCCAACAAAACCATCGAACAAAGCCAGAAAACCGCGGCGAGCTTTTCGTTTCAATTTGCTGCCAAAAATGCCCACAGATGTGGCACTAAAGGAGGAGCAGGCAGAGCCACTGAAGTACCATTGCTGGTGGGTGTGGGCAGGGTGGGGCACAGCAGACACGCAGCCGTTTGGTCGCTCGTTGGCCAATTTAGTTTTAACGTTGCAGCTGGTGCTGGCTGCTTGCTGCTTGCTGGTGGCTGCTTCTGTTATCATTCAATTGCCGCCATCCCTGCGATTGCAATTTTGAATGCCACCTTCGCCCACCCTGCAATTTTGAATGCCAAGTGCATGGCAGTGGAGGTGAGGTGAGAGCGTGCCATGTGGCCACGTCATCGTTTGGCGATGGGGAACGCTGGTAGGCATCGGTAGGATTATAAAATATATATTTACATATAATGGATAATAACTTTTATTATTTGCAGGCTTCTCACAGCACGCTGGCAGTCTAATCAGAGTACTGGTAAATCCACGCGATCGTTAATGTTTTTTTTATAACATTTTTAAACATTGGAAAGCTTTGCCACATAGCCATAACTGATTTTAATATAAATATCTTCCAGATGCTCCATAATCTGATCGCTAGCAATAGTTGTAGCAAAGATAATTCAATCAAAATGGCAGGAATTGATTAACTTGATATTCATGGCCAAGCTGAAACTAAAATTAATCTCGTCTAGACACTATTAAGATCTCTATTCATGCCCTGAATAGTTATCCTAACAATAACTAATCCAAAGGCTTATTGGAAGGATATTTATGCTTGATATTTATATTTTTATTTGAAACTTTGTTTCATTTCTTGCAGGCGCTCATAGTATGTATTTCTATTCCAATTGGATTGCTCCAAGCTTCGTTTTGGACCATCCATTGCTGTAAGAATCATTAATCCTACATGCTCCTTGCCATAGCCATTTACTGACATTCGTCATTTCCAGTGGACTGGAATGGACTCTATGCCATTCGTGTGCATCTTTACCGGATTTTGCCATGGGTTTAATTGGGCGAGTGCAATCCCCCCCTCCCACTTTGAGAAAGCCACTTGACTTGGCCTTTGACTCCCCTTTGACTGCTGGACAAGCAGCCAGCAAGTTGACTCCAACACTCCCGCCTCGCCCCTGGGACACATTGTCACCTAGAACAGCTGGCGACGAGGCAATGGCGATGGCGATGGCGTTGGCTGTTGACAACGACAACAGCCCCTTGGGCATTCATTCCGTCCGAGCGTCAAGTGCATGACTATCTGATTGCATTTTGTGTGTGAATTGTGGATAGGAAAAGCGTTTAAACACATTAAACTGCGTCCGGTTACGTGACTGGAATTCAAGTTCTGAATAGAAAACAGAATGGAACAGGAAGAGGAGCAGGAGTATCAGCTGACTGAAATGGGTAAGCCTAATCCCAACAAAGCAGTGGGTGGGTGCTGCTGCTGCTGCTGCTCCACATGCATACCAAATTGGTTTAATTCAATAAAATTTTCAAAACAAACTTGTTTCAGTGGTGGTGGGGGCCACATCGGTTATGAGTCAGCGTTTGAAATTGCTTTTGTTGTAGAAGCTAGCACCCAACAGCCAACACCCACACCCATGAGCCATGATCCATGCTCTGCACGCAGACAGCCAGCCATATAGCCATATAGCCACGGGCCATTTTCAGTTATGTTGCTCAAAAGTCTGGAAAGTAATTCTATTAAAAGAGAAAGGAAAATAACTGCGCTCTCGACTAAAAAGAACTAACTACATCAACGGCCACGGGAAGGAGCTGGGGGTCGGTTCTGAACGTGAGCTCGATAACATTTTAGCGATGGATAAACAAATTTCTTTGGTGGGTGAACAAGAGCAAAGCAAATATGAAATTCCATTAATTTGATGGATGCTTCAGGCAGCCGGCAACGGGCAGGGTAGTAACGGGGGGCTGACTGGAAGTACGAGTGATAGGAATTCAAGTACAACATGCACCACGGGACGTATGATTAATGAAATTTCTACCGCACTGCCGGAGAGTCGAATCAGTGGCTAGCACAACAAATGAATTTATTAATGAAGTGCACATTCCCCTTCTAGGATTTCCCTTTGTTGCATCTACAATATGTACATATGCACTGCACTAAGTGCTGACAACTTTGCAAAATTAAAGCATTATCCTATCCTATTATATTTCCTAGCAGTTCGAGAACTTTTTATTTGCATATAACTATAACAGAGTAACTATATTTTTAATTCATGCTTCAGGTGGTCAATAAGCCTCTGCCCCATGATGGATGATGTATGCCAATTGCTGGCCCTAAAAATGTCTTGAATTCTCATCTGTGCAGCCATTGAGTACTTAACTCGAGGCAAAACAGATGTCTCAGTCTGCTATATGCTGGTCAGTTGTCACATCAGATTGTATTTATCATTGGCGAACAGGAGACATCCATGAAGTATTTTCTTTGGCAAGTTTCCCCTGCCATCTGGGGGTCATCATAGAGGCTGTCAATATGTATTAATGCGCTGACAGAATTTCCTACAATTTAAGGGCAGACATGTTTGCAGTGTTACCATCTAATGCAATGATTTCGTTTTGGCTTTCGATCCGTTCTCTAATTGAAAATTTAAGACACCTTCTAATAATGCATTATTTCCATATAGATTTCAATATGCAGCCCATGGACTTGGCCCAAAAAACACCCAAAACTGGAGCTTAAACTGGCTGGAGACTGCGACGTTTCTGTGCCCAAAACGTATGCTTTGTAGAGCCAGCCAAGTGTCGTCAGTCCTATGAAAGTTTTACCTTTACTCAGGAAATTATACATGTCGAGGCGACTCTGGTGGTCCCATTGTCTTCAAAGGCGAGCTCTTGTCAACGTTTCGTGGGGCAACAAGTGTGCCCTATGCTCAAGCTATGAATCGTTGAAACTGGTGAGAGAATCTCACCTCAAATAAATGTTAAATAAAAGCTTTTTTGATGTAAAGAATTCCCAAGACAAATGTCTTTGCAGGTTTTCGTCTAGGAAAATATTCTTTCGAAGCCCAGACAACTTTCAGATACTAAAGAATACACATTTAAACCCTCAAAATTAATTACACACAATCTTCCTTACGCATTTTCTGATTTCCATGAAATTCCATAATCCATTCATACATTGGCTCCAGCGTGCAAAAACTTATTTCGCGACGTCTGGAACTATTTGAATGCCTTACCACACGCCACCTACTGCTGCTCCTCGACCGCCAACTACTGCTGCTCCTCGACCGCCTCCAAGTGGCAAAAAGTGTCTGCAACTTAATCTGTCTGTTGGGGCAGGGCGAGTAGGAGCGTTTTCCAAGTCATTGGGCAACGCAAACTATGCCATATAATCGCATGATATATGCCTAATCTCTGCTGGCAACTTCTCTCTCAATGTGGCAGCAGGGCAATGTGCTAAGCCTGTGCAAGTTCTCGCTGGTGGAGAGTCAATTTCAGCGATTAAATTAAGAATGCATAACTTGCAGGCTTAACAGTGCTACGGGGAGATGGGCGGGGGGAAAGTGAAGGGCAGTTGCCATGACAGCAGGAGAAGGTTGAGGTTGAGGAGGAGGTCAGTCTCCTGCAGCCCGAGCACGAACGGGGGCTCTGACTTTTATTTGCCATTCTCTTTGCTTCACATTTCCCTTTCGTGGGAGAGTACGAAGCTCATGCTACTTAACTACTCTTTTTTTTGTTTTTCAATTTGCGATTTGTTTGCCGCTCTCCTGACTCAACCCAATACCCCACCATCTGGGTAGATCCGTGTCAGCGGGCAGGCTTCCTGTTCTTATTTCCTTGTTGGTTTGCTGTGATATCTTTCCTCTTTTTTAGAACACACTTGCAGCGTATACTTTCCCTGCAAGGCAGAGAAGAATCAACACGCACCTCAGCCACAGATTTCAAGCTATACGACCATCCACACGGCTCTCAAAGCGTTTTGCATGTAAGCTAAAATGACTTAAGCATAAAGCACTAGCTGGAGTAAAAATACATACATACACGGTGAGGGTTTATAACTTAAATTTATCGCACCCATACTTTTCCTTCAGGCTGATGGCTGTGGCACTCCTACTACTCTCATCTCCGACTCTATCCACCCTCGTACCAACAAGGGTATCAAAGTCGCCGGCCCCCATCCCGTTTGCTTTGTTTTCCGGTTCTTCTTGTTTCCTCTGGCTGCTTGGACATGGTACGTGCCTGGTCGGACCTTCTATGAACATCTTGCACAATAACTAGCCTGGCGCACTGTATTTGTTTTTAATGCAATTCCCTTTTTTCCCTGTACTTTGCTCGGCCTTCTGCAAATAGTTTTCAGAAAAGGTTTTTTTCGCCCAGTTGCGGATGGGCTTTAATGGGTAGCGGGTGTTGTATGATCTGCACGAGGCAAGTCCTATTAAAATTAAATTTTTTTTGTATATTAGTTTTGTGGTCTATGTGCATGAAATATTCTGTTCCAGCAACTAGATCCACTTGGCAGATACAGAGCAGAATAATGATAAGGATGCAACTGCAGGTAATTAATTTGATATACCAGTGATTTTATATTCCACAGGTTAGAGCAGCCTTCTGCCCAAGCAGTCATTGAATTAAGCTAATGATTTATGATTGGTACGCAACTGAGTTTACAAATATAATAAAGATGTGTATAATATTGATGTTGCCTTTATTTATATTTGAGAGCAAAGCTAATCTCCGTTTGGGTGGGTGTAGTATGTGTCTCTATGGGATATTACTTATGCAGAATTGTGCGTATACAAACGGAAAATATCGTTGGCCACAAAGAAAGAGTTGCCGCTGGCCCTCAGTAAAAAGGCCTGCGTGAAGGAAATCGGGGGATCATCATCGCTCTGCAAAAATGTAGAAAGCCAACAAGTATTAATCAATAAAGTACAAATAAATTCAAAGGCGAAAAAGCTATTCTTTGTTCCATTAATTAAATTTAAATGTGAAGGGTTTATATAGATATTCATGTTCAGGATACTTCCTTCGATTGCCTCCTGGGCGCGATCTTCAACGCTTACCTTAAGATGTCCGATGACATTGACCAAAACTCCTCCCGCCAGAGTGGGCTGCGTGTCCACAGCGCTTAACACTCGTACAATCTTTTTGAAACTCAGATCCTGTAAGCAAATGGCATTACTAGAGAGTTCTTAAAGATGTATTGCACATGTGACGCTTACCTGAATTTTCTCTAATATCTTTTGAGCTCCCTGTATCTGATGGCCCTCGAAGGTCATGTACGAGTCTGTGGCCTGAAAAAGATAATTGTTGCATGAAAAATCATGTCTCATTCACGCTGCACACATGCATACATATATTTATATGTATGTATAGGCGCGCGTGTATTGGGAGTATGCAACACGGACCAAAACTTCGAGAAGATGCAACAGTTACTCATACAAATATAATTTTGCATTTGCATTTTCGCATTTGCGCGCCCTTTTTATGCCTGCTTCAGCGGAGGCTGCACATGAGGAGGCGGCGCCCTTTTTCAAGGTCGCAAATCACCTATGCCCCAAGAGGAGGCACCACTTCAGCAGCAGCAGCCACAAAAGCGATCAGAGATACAAACTTACGCTGTAGAAATATGCGACGCTTGCTCGGGTTTCCGGATAGTCGAATATGGCATAGTACTGCTCGACAAAACGATTTCCAATACTTTCGTACTGTGGATTTACAGACGACATCGTGTTCAATTTACTTTAAAGTCTGCAAATAATAATGAACCAAAACTATGGGCAAAGTTCTTCACACGCGAACACACGAACGTTGGCCAAGCGACGCTTTCAGAGAGGAGATAGTGATCGGTAAAACATCGATAGGCCACCATCGATGTATTGAAATACAGCTGTGCATGGTGGGATAGAAAAACAAGACGCTTCCACTACCATTTATAGCTACATGACATTAGACTTTAGGCAATTTTTCTTAGGAAAAAGGCACAAAATGCAAAATTGTTGTTTCGTTAGATTATCTTTAGGATACAGACGGAACTATATTATATCTTCTCTCTATAGGGCTATACATTTTGCGGCCGATGTCGTTGTCTTTACTGATGGCTTTTAAGTGTTAACATACTGCGTGCTTTGTCCTGAGCTTAACAGACATTAAGAGCGACAGCCAGGACGTAAGCAGCAGAGCACATTAAACGCAAAACATGAACTTTGCCTTTTAATAACGAGAGGGGAGGGTCAACAAATTCGAAAGTAAAGTTTGAAGAATTTTAGTATGCATTTTAAAATGCATTATGAATTACAAATACATTAAATTACATTAAATGTTGTGTCAACTTTAAATTTAAGATTTAATTTTAATAATTTTAAAGCAAAGAATGAGCGGTGAATTTTAGCAAAAACTGTACCAACGTACATATGTACATACATACATATGTGCATATGTATATCTTTTATTTTTGGTTTCTTGGGACTGACTTGTTGGATTCTGGTCACCGACTCAGCTGCCCAAGGCATTGCCCAACAGTCAAAGCAGAGTTGGCAGAAGGCCGCGGTCAGAGGCGACCATAATTGAAAAGAGAATTGAATTGGGACATACCATGCAAACCATGCAACATAATGCCAACTGTATAGTCTTTAGTGTTAGCCAGACATCAATTAAACGATAGAAAAACATACAGACAGATGTGTGTGCATACCAGTGGCTTCTGAAATGCCTTCTTCTCGGGGAATGCAAACATCTGGTCAAAGTCAGTATGTACATATGTGGAACAATTTTGTTGGCTAAACTGTATTTTAATAAACAATATTGCTTTTGCCAGAATAATTAAAGTCAAATTTATAAAAATAAACATTGTGCAAAGTAAAACCGAAACCGACACCGAAACGAAATCTGTCTGGCACATTCATGTTCTCTTTTTTCGGTAGAGAGAAAACCACACGACACACTCGACCTGTCAACACATGACCGACCGACCGACCGACCGACCAGCCGCCTTGCTTTGCCGTCAAGACTTCACACTCTCCTCGAACAGCTTTGTGTGTGTGTGTGTGGCTGTGACCACACTACTCGAAGGATTCGCCTCTGACAGGGGGCTGGGGGTGGGGCCATATATCGTATATTATGCATGCAGTGCAAGGCAATGGCCAGAAGAATATTCAAAGCATTTAGCAACTCATTGTCCCTTTCAGCAGGCCGCACAGCTACAGCCACAGCTCCAGCTCCAGTGCCAGCTTCAGGCCCAACAACAGCAACAAGCAACAAGACGTTGACGACAACGAAAAATGTATTCATGGCCCCCCCAAAATTGTATAATTTAAGTTTTGCACATAAAATCACACCGCAAACTTGGGAAAGGCCCGAAAAAGCGAGCGGCAACAAACACTCAAGTGAACTGACATACATACATACATACATGTGTGGGTGTTTATGGAAATGTGTGCGTGTGTGTCTGTGTGTGGCGGAACTTACGAGTAGCTTGGGCCTGAAATGTAGAAATTCTTTTCAGTCCAGGGATGGAGATGCCAAGAAAGTAGCCAGAAGTGAACAGAAGACCCTTAAAACTAAGAGCTAAATGTAGGTCCTCCTACAATATATTTTGTCTGCTAAATGTCCATGGTGTCTTATCAACACTCTTGATGACTGACCTTTTAAACTCTTAAACTTCTTTGTTTCACAAAATTAAACTCTACAATTTCCAAGCCCTGAATCTCCGACTATTCCCATTTTCTGCAGTGCTTTCCCTTTAGCACTCCCTTTCCATTACTTCGAGACGGCCGCCTCTATTACACAGTTGAGCACACAACGAAACCGAACCCTACCCATACACATATCAAATTTAAATATTTTAAAGAGGAAACCGGACGCAGGACACCCACTCCCACTCCCGCTCCCGCTCACGTTCCAGGCAGGCACAAAGTACAAAACTTGTGTGCCATAAAAATGCTATAAAATTGCACAAATAGCATTGGATACGATACGTAGATACAGGAGTACGAGCCGTAGTCGTACATATACATATGAGAGTGATGGAAGATTCTCACTTGCCCGATATGTTCGAGGCGAATCTGCTGGCTGACCTAAGTGCGTGTGCACATGAGCTTTAACGAGTGTCAATGGGTGTAACGTGTGTGAGAGTATGTCGTGTCCTGCTGCATGTCCTTTGACGAGTTGTTTGTAAGTCATTGTCATCGGCTTCCATATCGTTGTCCTTTGCAGGGAGACTCATTTGTTGGAATATCTCTGGGGCTGCTGCCTTTGTAACCCTTTTTTCCTCACAAACAGCAAAGAAACTTGATTTCATTTTGATTTTTCCCGTTCTTTTCTTTGGCTGCTTGAGGCGACAATCTCAACACCGAAACACACATCAAGTAAGTTATGACACGGTCCAATTTCTACCGAAAAAGGGTTGACCAAGTTCTTAGGCAAGGTTTGTAGTCACAGAGTGGGAAGCAGATGGAGGAGCTGGTCTAATGACCATTTTAAGATGCACCACTGCTCGGAGAGTAGTGCCAAAGTTCTGTGATCATCTAGGGAGACATTTTGTGGCATGATGTCCTAATTAGAATGCCATAATGGTGTGTGTGCCAAGAGCTCATGCATACTCGTACCACGCCTCATAAATAATGCATATGCCAATGAAAATGAATGTGAAATTTAAATAATAAAATTCAGTGGGCAAGAAAACCTCCTGGGGCATCACACACACAAACAGACACACACACACAATCATCAATCGACATTGTAGTCGGAGCCCACTTAATCGAATTCCAACCCAACTATTTTCGGTAAAAGGTTTTCCCATTGCTTCTGGGGGGGCGGGCATCATCCTCAAGAAAAGGTTAAATGATTTTGCATAAAATTTAAGTGAAGCCATTCTACACCTGAGATTTAAACCCTGAATGCAGATGTGTGTAAAGTGTAAAACCTCAAGGATTATTCTCCTTGTGGCTGGTGACTGGCTGGTGGCTGGCTGGTGTCTTGGCTTTCATTTGGAATGTGCTCATCAATCTGTCAATTTAGTACAACAATTACGTTAAGTGCGTTCAGACGTTTATTAAGCCAATCAAAGGCTTGTGTCGGAGCTTCAATTGTCTTTCAGCTTGTCAACTTTCTGTGATGTGAAACTTGATATTTTCCTTTAAATATTACGTTGCCTTTTTTGGCAGTTGAATAATGAGTTCCCATTGCATTATTGTCAGCTGTCTATTGTATGTTTAATGTGCTGCTGAAATCATATTTTGAGGCATTAACTTTTATATTCTCTACATAATGGCTTATTGAAACCTAATTGGGGATGGTCTCATGTCAGTTCTTGTATTTGGATCGTTTTGTGTGCGCAAATGGATGTTACATTCATTTCCTCTTCTACTCCAGATATGTCCGAAGCCAATTCCTGCAGAATTATTCCTATTCTGAGCCCCTTTTTGTGTCACACACAAAGTCCCCCACTGACTCCGGTGAATACTCTCGCACTTCTCGCCTTCCAAAAATCATCTCCACATGCCTGGCGTGGGCCATCCTGGACTAACCTCTAGCACAGCACCCACAAAAGCGACAACTTTAATTAAGTGAAAATTATGATGTTCGCTGGAGGGGAGAGAGGGCAGGAACAAAAGGTTAAGCACACTTGGTGGTCACACGTGGCTATGAATAATGTAAAATCTCAACTAATTAAGCCGAGTAAATGTATTAACAACAAACTTTACCCAGGTCCAGGGGGTTTCGCTACGAAAACTGCAATATTCTGCAGCTACGGAAACCCTACCAGTCCAGCAACAATTTAGGTAACATATTGTTTGTTTTAATTACATTTTTTTTTTGTTTAAAATTTTGTGTGCATCGTAGAGGAAGAGCAGCAGCAGTGGCATTGTCGAGGGCAGCAGCAGCCGTGGCATCATCAGAGCAGACCTTAATATTCTGAAAGTAAAACATGCAATTATTTTAATTAGTTGCAAAAAAAAAAAAACATTTACTAAATTGGCCATTGATATGCTTCCAAATCCTGGTAGTCGTCATCCGGATCGTCTGCATATGGATCAACATCGGTCACGGCTGTGATCATCAGCAAAAAGCTTAGAAAACCCAAAACACATACTAATGATTTCATTTGTTTGTACATTATTATTTCAGTAAAGATTTGAGCTTAGTTGCAAGTCTACGTAGATGTTAGATAAAATAAGTAAGGCTCAGAGTCGGTTTAAGCACAGGAAACAAGTCAAAATTTGATGTTTTTATTGATAACTATCAAATCAGACGGGTCAGGGTTGAGATAAGCAAGGGAAACAGCAGTCTTGAGGAGCACCATAGCTACCACCATATAGGCCATAGCTATATATAATTACGAGGTGAGCCAGGGCACTGCCTCATCACATCCCCCCACGAACCAGGGAAGGAAACAGTAGCAGATCAGGCTCCTAAATTCCATAAAATCAAACCTGTAATTATTGCCATTGGCCAGGGAAAACCCTCTACTTACTGGCACCCAAAAATAGGTTCATATCGGGTATAGCTGTGTTGGATGTTCTTCCATTTGGTGTCTGTTTGGTTACGCAGCCAAATAATCCGTAGATCATAGTCAGTGGTGCAGCAGTAGAGTAAATATCTATTATTGTTCGTCATTTATGCTGTATTAGGGCACGGGCAATTCTGCCTGCCTGCCCTTGAAGTCAGTCTGCACCTAGCACTCACTTCTCGCATATCGTAGACCTGATGTTTAGTCTTGAAGCGGCCCCGCGTCTTCAATCGACCCCGTCTTCGAATCGAGCAATCGATCATCGTGAACTCTCTATCAAATCTATCACCTTGCGCTATTTTTGGATACTACATACGAGTATATAATGATTGAACTACAATAAACTGTGAATATATTGACTGAATAATCATCGTCTCTTTAATAACCTCCCAAAATAACGCTACTGAAAACAGTGTCCTCCGTATAAATCTCATGAAAATATTTAGGCAACCAGGTTGTTAGCTACCTTCAGCTTCGGGCCTTCGCCTAGGGTTCTTTGCCATGGCAGAAAATATTAATTTTATTGTGAAGTCGTTGGACGGGTTACATATTAAATTCACATAATTTTAATGCTTTTGGCACCTCTCAAGAATTCAATTTTAAAGTATAGCAATGTGTCAAAAGATTTGTTTTTTATATCTATGTAGTTGGGGCTTTTTGCGCAATTAAAATGCTGAAAATGCAATTTCTAAGTATCACAATTAACTGGTAAAACGCATCTACTTACTGCTCCATTCATTCACATCTTCATAGTCCGTATCTGGTTGGAGTAAGAACGGATCCATAACGGGTACAGCAATGGCTCCGGTCAGCAGCAAAACAGACAGAAATACGAAAACACACAGAAATGATTTCATTTTAAAGCAATTTATTGTTAGTTTAAAAATTTCAAACATATTTTGAGCTTAACTTCAAACAAACAAATAAAATGTTACTATAAATTGGAAAAATAAATAAGCAGAAGATACTACTGGAATGTAGTCAGAACCAGCATAACGCCCCAAAGAACCACTCACAAATGTCTTCTCCATATGTCTCCTCGTTTGATTCTTCTTCATTGGGCCAATCCTCAATTGTTGGTTCCTCTGTCATCTCAGTCGTTTGCCCGCTGGGTTTTGCAGTCGTTTGCCCGCTGGGTTTTGCAGTCGTTGGCCCGCTGGGATTTGCAGTTGTTTGATCGCTGGTTTTCGCAGTTGTTTGATCGCTGGGATTTGCAGTTTGATCGCTGGGATTTTCAGTTGTTGGATCGCTGGGTTGCGCATTTGCTCCTTGACTCGCGCCATTGCTTGTTGCTGTTGTTGTGCCGGATCCCACAATTCCCTGCCTATATTTTTTTAATTTTAGCTTCTTAAATGATCCCTCGCCTGTGTCCTTGTTGAGTCCAAGTGGCTGAAGGAACACCTTGAAAGATTCTCCAAGCAGTTCATTCAATACTTCAGATGATTCTTCATTTTCCAAATATTCATCACTTTCATCTTCAAAAGATTCTTCGAGTTGCTTTTCTATAACTTCTGGATAAGAGTCTTTTCTGAAATTCTCAGAAAAGTCTTTCTTGGGTTTCTCCGTTTGTTCTTTAATTTTATATCCAGCGGCGCCCTCGTCAGCAGGCTGATCTCGTTGAGGCCTCGCCACAACAATGGCAAGTAGCACCAAGAAAATCGCGCAAAACCTTGCAACTTGTAACATTTTCTACTTGTTAATGGAACAATTATGGAATGCTCTACCACTATATATACTCCATTCCATGCTCGTAGAATAGTTACCAACTGGGTTACGTCAAAAATCTACTGTGATTTATTCCAAACAAATTCTTTGCGTAACGTTTTGTCGTAAATTTAAAATTACTTTAGAGATAAGATGTTTTAGCACAAACGAAAGGTAGAAATACATAAGTAATACACTGACAAAAATGTTATAGTAATAAGAAATATAGTTATATTTAATCTAAATATTAAATTACAAACATAGTGAAATTAAATATATTTAATTCAAATTTTAAATGCGTCCGATATTTAACGGAATATGTACGTATAACACTTTAACATCACAACTATATTAAATTTGTGGGAAATATATTTAATTTTATATTATATAATAAATTATAATATAATATAATTATAATATAATTATATATATTAAATATATTTGTATCTTTTTAAATTAAATATATTTAAATGAAATATTTTCATATTAATGGTGAAAACCCTTCCATTTTAACAGTTCCACTCTCGGTGGAAATATGTTTTGTATAAATATTTAAATCGAAGTGCAACTTTTCGATTTTCAGTGCTTTTTTCTCTGAGTGTACATACATATGTTCAGGCAATTTTCTTGGAGTTTTTTATGAGGTGTTACTTTTACTTTCGGAGGTACAAACAACCCATTTAAATAACACACAGTCCAACCAAAGAAAAACCCCCAACAACTTCGTTTATATTCCTACAATATTTTATTCACAGTTCTGCCAAGATTATATCTCCCATCTGCTCCATGCGGCTATTCATCTGTTGCGTTCTCATCGTCATCTTCTTCGGGGTCTGGCTCCATCTGCCATCTGTGGCCCATGGCGTATGGTGGCTTGGCATAGGTCTTCACATAGAAAGTGCCATTCTTGGGTATCGATGGCTCGCCGCCCATGCGGAACTCCCCCTCGCTGAGCAAGAGGATCCATGTCCCATCCGCATGACGTTCGGCACGTGGACCCCAGAAGCCAGCGGGACTGATCAGCGACTCCATAAAGTAGTCGTGGGACCGCTTATGTGAACAGCCATAGACATAGCATTTCTTCTGGTTCTTGCCGTAGTTCGGATAGAAGGTGGCATGCCCCACGGGCTGCTCGAAGCCCAGGCTGACGCTCGTCTGGATGGACTCCACATAGGTGGCATCACTCGCATCGATGCGGTACTCATCTGTTTGATCACGGAACTTGGGACCCGCCGGATCCAGCGCGTAGATCGTGTTGAACCGGAATGGCTGTATCTGCTTGCCCGCACTGCCCGCGATCTGTGCCCCCAGCGAATGTCCGATCACATAGACATCGTCGTAGTGCAGATCGGCATTCAGGTGCAGATAGCGCACTAGATCGGCCAGCAGGAAGCCCATACTCTCTACCGTGTTGGCCACTTCAAAGTAATTCACATTCGTTGAGATCTTGCTCCAATCGCAGACGATGACATTAAAGTCCTCGTAACGCGCGGGCTCTCCATTCGGTCCCGGATGGGTCAGACTCAGATAGGCATTCTTCACTTTCCTTATATGCGAACCCTTGCTCTGACTCATCCAGCCGTGTATGACGATTCTGTAAAGAGGGAATACAAATTTAACAAAAAAAACAATGAGAAACCTTTGTTAAAACTCCACAAAATCGAACATCTGCTTCACGTGTCAAAAACTTATCTTATCTTTATTTTGTATGTTTTTGTTATGCCAAATCTGCTGTCACTACTCTATTTCCCACATTTCATGGCTCCACATATTTACGTTTATTTTAATTGCTAATTAAAAACGTTTCAAGAGCAAAAAAAAATGCCAAATGGCAATGACTCAATGCGATAAGCGGGAGTAAAAATCCAAAAATAAAACAAAAACCTGTTTTCGTCTGTACGCTCGAAAAAAATTAATAATATTTGGTGATAGAAATTAGCAAATGTTTGCCGTATATTATAGATCTAATACACTCTATGACGTTTGTTTGTGCCTCAATTTGAACAGCTTTCAAGCAATTATTCCACCAAAACGAATTTCGAGAGTACAAAAGGTATACCCCCCCATTCATTAGCCGTAATGCAAACAACAAATACAAACAAATTCCCCGCCCTACAACTGAAAACAATCACAAACATTAATCTTTTGAGGAAATCCCCCTTGCCCGCCGCTTACCTTGTCGGATGACGTGCATCGAAGCCAGAGTTTTTCAGATTTTCCTTATTGTCGATTAACATTTCCCTTCCGCAATCGGCAAAGTCCCGCTTAAAGAGTATAAATTGCATTTTGCTCCGTGAGCTACCCACAAAGGGTATCAAATGTGTGAAGAACTTCTTCCAGAATGAGGGATCTACGCCAAGGGTCTTCGTTTTGATTAGCGTGTAATTGCATTGTGGAGATAGCTCCATGGATAGCTCTGTGGGCGATGCCTCTGTGCTGGGACTGCTGGTGGTGCTGCTGGTGGTTGTAGGTGCTGCTAATTAATGAGAGTAAACACTTGTTTAGATCATTCAATTATGGAGTTACATGTACTCGTAAGTACTATGAACTCACCCACTGCTAGAGCACTCAGTGCCATCGCACCAACGATGGTGATCAGATTCAGTTGCGAGATCATGGCTGGCTTGTAGTTCGCCCCGGGGGCGCCTGAGAGCTCGTGTGCGTGCGTTGCTCTGATCTACCGATCTTACCCGTACACTCTCCCCACCAATTCGATGTTCTCCGCCGACCAGCTCCGACGCGAGCTCTGACCTGCTCAATGGTGCGTGCACAACTGACAAAATGCTCTAGGTCTGAGCTCTGAGCTCTGGGCTCTGGCTGTGAGCTCTGAACGATCGCCGAACGGCCGAATGGAGAGAGATAAAGCGTGGCACCGTCATGTCTACCCTCGCTCCCTACCTCTCTCCAATTTTCACTGCCTCTCCTTCGTTCTTTCTCTGTCTGTCTCTTTTCATGCTAATTGTTTTGGGAGCGTTTTCGTTATAAGTTATAGGCTATAGGCGTTAATTGCTAATGACAACGATCAGCGACAAAAGTAGGTATCTCTGTCTAATGATGGGTGATCTTTGCGAAAATACAAAAAAACATGGGAAGTAGAGATTAAAATCACCTTGAGAACCTTTTTGGCAAGGGAAAAATACAAGTATATGGAAATATGGGTAAATATGGGAAAATATGTTTGAAATGACAATATACATTTTACGAACTTTCATTATAAAGAAAAGACAAGAAGTAAAAGGCAAATTGATACGGGAATCCTATAATGGAAAGTCAAAATCAGTTTTTCTAAACTTCTCTTATAATTTCCATAAAAAACTATTTGAAAAGATTAAAGATCACTTATTGAGATTACCTAATGAAAACATAAAACGAAATCGTTTATCCAGCCTGAAAGCCTGGCCTAATATTAGGCATTAAATTAAATACGGGTTTATTTTTTTGTGGTTTTTATAAGTATTACAGATATAATTTTTGGGGATGATTACATTACATTAAATTACAGATAATTAATTAATTATTTAGTAATGATTTTTATGCCCATTTCAAGTCAACATAATTATGGCTAAAATGTTTCAAAATGTTCCACAAGAAACGTAAAAACTAAACACTAATCCAGAAAATCAAAGCAAACCCCAATTAACAGATCACTTACATTTAAGTGCATCCCATTTTTAAACACTCCCTTCAGGCAATATACAACACCCCCAAAAACATGTTTCACTTATTAACCAAGTCAAAAAACAAATATAAAATGTTCTACCTACCAATCCTTCCCCACACCATCCGCATCCACTAAGTTAATTACCCCATTAAGTGGGCCCGCAATAAATTCAACGAAATTAAAAAAGAAAACGAGTAAAACGCCCCGAAGCATTAATGAGTTTGGTTTTCCAATCCTCGGGCAACATTTTTATGGTTGTCAGTCAGCAAATAATTATCGCATATCCACCGAAACAATATATATCCCAGCCACACGGCGGGTAAAGAATTTTCCGACTCTATCGTCTAATTGCCTGGCCCCTAATCACATTTGAAGCTCGTTTAATTATTCCGCCCCCCGAGTACATAATTCATTAACTCCAAACTCAAATGGGGCGACAAATTTTCAGTCACTTAGCCCAGTCGCCCAATCCTCCTTGAAAGGCAGAAGGGCTCGCTCTCTTGCTTTTGCCTCATTTCGTGGCACACCTGAACAGCATTTTAATTATGCAAATTTTCGGCGAGGAGCCTTGTTGATTAGAAAATCCGCAAAAGGAAAAACGTCAAACCCTTGACACCAGGACCACCAGCCAGGCTGAGGTGCATCTAAGGGACTTCGCCCCCTTCAGGCACATCAAATCAATCAATATGCAGGAGCTGGAGAAGCGCAGGGCAAAGCCAAAGGGCAGAACAAACACACATCCTCGTTCCCTAATGAATTTTGGCAAACCACCAATTAGATGTTGAAAATTAATTGGCAATGCCTCGGGGCCAGCCTCAAATTGCAAATGGATTTTGAGGGGAGAGTTCAAGGAGCAGAAATCTGAGCTCTCCCAATTTGGCTTTGACAATGATGCCTATCTGAGACGGCTTCAGGACATTCTCTAAAATTCGCTCTTTGCGTCTACAAAATTTACTGCACTTCTGCGTTATTTTCTGGGATTTTTCTTCTTTTTTTTTTCTATTTTCCGGAACCTTTGTCAAGTGTCGCAAAAGTTTTTCCCTTTTTTGCCAAGGCTAAATTTTTGCTTACAAACTGTTGGCCCAAAACGGATCCATTGCCCGGGGGTTTTTTTGTTTTCCACCCCAAAATGGTCGTTTGTCATTAAAGGTTTTTGCTATAAATTGTGTTTGAGGAATTGAAGTGTTTAATCTGGGGAAAGGATTGAAAGATAGGGATTGCGGGAACATGCAAATGGCTGCCAAATTGCTGCTGAAGATACTTTTAACGAATTATATATAGTAGATACAATTTTGTGCCAGTCTCTTAACTAAACATTAAACTTTTATCTGTATTATTTCACTCACTAATAAGTTGTACAACTTACTTTGATAATTTGTAGATGATTCCTTTCAAAGTTTACAATTTTCTGGCCAAAACATTATTCAAAACCCTCCACCGCTACCAGTCCACTACAGTCCACCACTTCACCTTTGCCAACTTTCTGCCCAAAACTTTCTGACCAAAAACCGAAAAACTCTAAATCCTCAACTAACATTTTTAAGCATAACAAAGTACGACGAGATTTGGCATATAAATCTTAACGCCGTTTTTGGTTTAGTCAGGCATTGCCATTGCCTTTGCCCCTTCCCCCAAAAACGCTTATTATGTAGTTCAAAAAGGGGGGGAAGCACCCAACCCAACCCAGGAGAGGTTTTTGGTAGGGACTTTTGACTGTGACTGAAGCTGAGGCTGGGGGTGTGCCATGGGTTGGCTTTGTCCCAAGGGCTTTCTAGTTTTTGGGGACTCTGCGACGATGACTGCAACTTTTTCTATTGACTTAATGCAGTTGGAAAGTGCAACGAAGTGTTGGCTGTAGATTTTCGACAAAAGGCAACCGGCAACTCTTTGAACTTGGCACCCAGCAAACTTTAAAGCAGGGAAGAACACAGCCAGAGAACAGGCAACATTTTGAAACAAGGGAAATAAGACAAATGTACAAGCATGGGATTTTTTTCTTAAATTCCTAAAAAAAATTCTTAGTTTATAGATAAGATATGTTAAGGTACAGTACACCTAGAAATTAATAAAATGATTAAAGATAGAAATATGCATGAGTCTCAGGGGTATATGGTGTCATTTCGGAGAAAAGGTTGTCTAAATGAATGAATTTAAATGCGTTTCCACATAATTTTAGGAATTCAAACTAATGCAGAACCCTCGAGATTTTAAACGAAGAAATCACCACTAAAAATCAATTTATTTCGAAACTTTTTAATTAATTTACGGACAACTTTAGCAATATTTACCTTATGGTTTATGAAGCCCAACCGGGATATCAGTTACCCAAGGAAAATCATTTAATTTACCCAAAATATCAAAATGTAACTTCGGCATCTTCCTGTTTATCCGGTACCCCCTCCAATGCAGCAAAAATGGCAACTACTGGATCTAAGTCTTGTCCTGAGCCTGACCACCGTCTGTGCCTCCTTTGTGGCAGGTTTTTACACTCATCACGAGATGGCCAGTAGACGATTGAAACAGTTAATACAGGGAGATCCATATGCCTACTATATTAGTCAAAAAATCTAGGTTTATTGTAAACAATTATCACAGACAATAAAGTACAATTACTTAACGTACTGTTACTGTTTATTAGCAACTTTTGTTAAGGGTCAAGGACAATTTCTGTTTACTATTTACTATTTTAAGCTAAATGCGGGGGAGCAGAATTTCTCCATCAATCCTTATCAGTTATCATTATCCCCCAATTGAAGTAGTTTTCTTTTTTTCTTCATCTAAAGATGCAGCTGATCATCGCCTGAGGCAGATCATGAAGTATGGTTTTCCTGGTCTGGATGATTTACTGCCGTACAGTGACTTTGTGCTGTCCTACGATCGACGGAATCGTGTGGCCTATTGGGTGTGCGAACATCTGCAGGTGGACACACTGCACTCCAGCCAAGTGAGAGGTGCCCGTGCCTCGTATCGACCGGATCTGAGTGTGCTCTCGAATTCCCAATCTACTCTTGCGGACTATCGACGCTCTGGCTTCGATCGTGGTCATCTGGCGGCAGCTGAAAGCTAAAAAGCGTAAAGTACTCCAGAGCCACTGCAACGAGACCTTCTTCTTGAAAATTATGGCAGTGCCAACGCACTTCTTCAAGGTCATCATGGTGGGAGTCGAAACTGCCACAGGGTAAACCCTAAATGATGGGTTACGTTCTGCCTAATACTGCCCTTCCAGATGGCCTCAATTTGAGCTCTTTCCTCTGCGACATTCGCGAGGTTGAACACTATGCGGGACAAATGTTTAAAAAATACAAGCAATCCAATTAAATTGGATTGGCCCAGCATTAACAAACTTAAATATTTAGGCGAAAAGGCCAACATTGAATGGCAAAAATGAGCAAATCATGCTTCAGAAAAAAAATTTTTGGTTGTGGTGGGGATCATTTCGCAATTTCATTGCTATCATTATCATACTTGTGTTTTTTACTTTTTGTTTATGTAGTGCAAGCTTAAATCAACTAATAAAAATTAAGATCACCTTAAAATTCCAGAAAAAAGTCATTTTATAGAGCATTATTAATCAAATGACATGAACACATAAAGGTATAAACGGTCACCAATAACACGATCCATGCATGTATTATACGGTAGGGTGACGCGTAATATTATAGAAATTTTACCCCATAAAATTTTTATTGTTTAATCAGACTTGACAAAATCTAGTGTGCAAAACAAAAAATTTGAATCTTTCACATTTGCCATTAATGTATATAATTAATGGCCACATGACGTCACAAATAAACTTTTACATTACACGCACCACCTCGAAATGCTATAACAGTGCGCTAACAGCACGCATTGTCAGTTAACAGCGAACACGAACAGCTGTTGAGCAGTGTGACCGCGGATTTATCCATCAAATATACCCCGCACAGGCGACAACTTTACGTGGCAAACAACTGTCAAATGGCTGCAACCAAATGAGCAGCAAAAAAAATCGAATTAGGGAACTGACGTGGAAGTTTGTTTTTGCTTGAAACTAATTTGCGCTTTTAATTGCCATTCCGTGCCGTGGCCAAGGAAAGTTCCCGTGGAACGATTCAAGCGCAACCAGCAGCGGCAGTCAGTGGACAGAAATTGGCCCAAAGAAGCCAGGAAATTGTGTTTTTGCCTTGGCGAACTTTGAGCTGCTGCCAATTTCTTCTCCTGCCTCTCTCTCTCTCTGTGTGTGAAAGTTGTTGTCTGTCTTAATTGTTGGCTGAAAGAATGAATCCGAATATGTACGGGCCGCCGCCTACGCAATTCCAGCCACAACCGCTGCAGCCGCAGCAGCAACAATATGCAGCACCACCGCCAGTGGCTGCACCTGGTGGTTGGCCACCTCAACAGCAGCAGCAGTCGCAGCCGCCGCAGCAGCAACAACAACAACAACAACCACAGTATGGAGCTCCACCCACATCGTCGGCGCCACAAACGTACCTTAATGGCAACTATCAGCAGCAGGTAAAATATAAAATCATCTTCCGTTGGCCTCTTGGATTGGAGTCCGTTAAATCCCTCGCCCCTGATAAGCTTTCCATTCATTAAAAAGAGGTCAAACCCAACCGATTTCGTAATGCGTGGAAGAGTTTAGAAGCTGTGCTTGGGAGATAAGGAAATTCTAATTGAAATTGCTTTAACATGTTCTCCGTTCTCCCATCTAGCTGGCCACGTCGATGGGCGGCCTAAATATGGGTGGTGGTGGTGGTGGTGGGGTGCCGGCATTGAAGATTGCCCAGCAGCAGCCACCGTTGGGACAGGCACCACCACCCACCGCCGGTCAGGGTGCACCGCCCACGGGTTTCAATCAATTCAATTCGAATTCTGCGCCTCTGCCTCCGACCAACAATAATAATGCTTTTGCTGCACCGCCGCCGTCTGCCAGGGAAGCAGCAGGCGGCTATGCCAATGGACCGACACCAGTGGGAGCCCCGGCCGGTGCTCCGCCACCGCCTACCAGTACACCGCAGAGCGTCGCCAGTGGAATCAATCAGATGAGCCTGAACAGCGGACATTTGGCGGGATTGCCGCATATGCCGCCGCCCAAGTCTGCTACGCCCCAGAACGCAGCAGGAGCTGTGCCGCCACCACCCCTGGGTGCACCAGGAGCTCAACCAGCTGCAGGACCCTTTGGTGTGAGCACCTCAAGACCCGGCCAGCCGCTGTTGCCCCCCGGAGCAGGTGCGCCACCAACATTTACGCAAGCAGGACTGCCGCCACAGTCGCAGCCGGGATTGCCACCCATGCAGCAGGCCGGTTTGCCACAGCAGTCGGGTCTGCCGTCCATGCAACAGCCGGGACTGCCGCCGCAGTCCCAGGCAGGTCTGCCGCCCCCACTGCAGCAATCAGCTAATTCATTTGGTGCACCACAGCAGCAGCAGCAACCAGGAGCGCAGTTTGGAGCACCACAGCAGCAGCAGCAGCAATCGGCAGCGTCCTTTGGTGCACCACAGCCAGGCGGCTTCCCAGGCAGCTATCCAGGCGGTCCACCGCCACTTCCCGGCCAACAATCGGCGGCACCACCACCACAATTTGGAGCGCCACAGACTGCAGGGTATCCTGGTCAGCAGCAGCCCGCAGCGCCAGGATACCCACCACAGCCCGGACAGCAGCCTGGAGCGCCAGGCTATCCCCCACAACCCGGCGGCTATCCAGGGCAGCCAGGACAGCAGCAACGTCCTGGCTTTAATGTTAGTAAAAAGCGCCTTTCCTTGTTGATTTCTTAATCACCTACCCCATTCTCCGCTCGCAGCAGCAACCTCCGATGCCTGGCGCTGGCAACATGTACCAGCAGGCACCGCAGCAGCGACGCCTGGATCCCGACCAAATGCCGAATCCCATCCAAGTGATGATTGAGAACCAGAGGCTAGCCGGCGGCCCGTTCGTGACCAATCAGCCGGGTCTGTTGCCGCCGCTGGTGACGACCAAATTTGTGGTGCACGATCAGGGCAACTCGTCGCCGCGATTCTTGCGCTCCTCGCTGTACTGCATACCCAACACAGGGGATCTGCTGAAGACCACAGCGCTGCCATTGACGCTGAACATCTCGCCGCTGGCACGCACCGCCGAGGGAGAGCTGGAGCCGCCCATAGTGAACTTTGGGGACATGGGTCCGATACGCTGCAATCGCTGCAAGGCCTACATGTCGCCCAATATGCAGTTTGTGGATGCGGGACGCCGTTTCCAGTGTCTGATGTGCAAGGTGTCGTCAGAGGGTGAGCGCTAGAGGAGCTTCAAAGATTTCCTTATGTATGCTAATGGTTTGTTTCGCTTCCCTTGACAGTTCATCCCGATTACTATCAGCATTTGGATCACACAGGACAGCGTGTGGACAAGCATGAAAGACCTGAATTGCTGCTGGGTACCTACGAATTTCTAGCCACCAAGGATTACTGTCGTGTAAGCAAAAGAAAACACCCAGCAAAATGCAATCCCTTCCTCATGATTTGTATCTCTCTCTCTCTCCCCTGCAACAGAACAATGTCCAGCCAGAGGTGCCTGCATTTATCTTCATCATTGATGTGTCCTACAATACGGTCAAATCGGGTTTGGTCCATCTACTGTGCGCCCAAATCAAGAACATACTCAAGCATTTGCCGGTGGACCAGGGCCAGGATAAGTCCAAGGTGCGCGTCGGTTTCATCACCTACAACAGCACCGTGCACTTTTACAACATCAAGAGTAATCTGGCCCAGCCCCAGATGATGGTGGTGGGCGATGTTCAGGAGATGTTTATGCCCCTGCTCGATGGTTTCCTCTGTGATCCGGAGGAATCGGCAGCTGTCATTGATGCTCTGATGGAGGAGATACCGCGCATGTTTGCAGACACCAAGGAAACGGAAACGATTCTGTATCCGGCCATACAGGCCGGTCTGGAGGCACTCAAAGCCTCCAATGCATCGGGCAAGCTGCTGGTGTTCAACTCCACGCTGCCCATAGCTGAGGCGCCGGGCAAACTGAAGAATCGCGATGATCGTAAGCTGCTGGGCACCGACAAGGAGAAGACTGTGCTGACACCACAGACCACAGCGTACAATACGCTCGGACAGGAGTGCGTGCAGCAGGGCTGCTCGGTGGATTTCTTTGTGTTCAATAATGCGTACATCGACATTGCCACCATTGGACAGGTGGCCCGTTTGACTGGTGGAGAGGTGTACAAGTACACCTACTTCCAGGCGGACGTGGATGGACAGCGGCTGATCGAGGACATAATCAAGAATGTCTCACGACCGATTGCCTTTGATGCGGTGATGCGTGTGCGCACATCGGCGGGCATACGACCCACGGAGTTCTTTGGACACTTCTTCATGTCCAATACAACGGATGTGGAACTGGCCAGTATTGGTGGGTGCACAGTCCATGAGATAATCCCTTTCATAGCTTTACTTATGTCTGTTTTTGAAACCCTTTTAGATGCCACCAAATCTATCAGCATTGAGATCAAACACGATGACAAACTGCCGCCCGAGGAGAATGTCTATGTGCAGGTGGCTTTGCTGTATACCTCCTGCAGTGGCCAGCGTCGCTTGCGTGTCCTCAATCTCGCTTTGCGCGTAACCACCACCATTGCGGATGTATTCAAGAGCTGCGATCTGGATGCCATTATGCTGTTCTTTGCCAAACAGGCCTGCTTCAAGCTAATGGAGCATTCACCCAAACAGGTCAAGGATAATCTAATTCATCGTTCGGCACAGATATTGGCCTGCTATCGCAAGCATTGCACTTCGCCCACATCCGCGGGACAGTTGATACTGCCCGAGTGCCTCAAGCTGTTGCCGCTGTATGCCTCGTGCCTGCTCAAGAACGATGCGATATCGGGTGGCTCCGATATGACGCTGGACGATCGCTCCTTTGTCATACAGTTTGTGCTGTCCATGGATCTGAATATGTCTGTGAACTATCTGTATCCCAGATTCATACCCATACACAATGTCAGCCCCGAGGAGACGGAGCTGCCGACACCAGTGCGCTGCACGCACGAGAAGATCACAGAGGATGGCGCCTATATACTGGAGAACGGTGTGCATTTGTTCATTTGGCTGGGTCAGTCGCTGTCCCAGAACTTTGTGCAGTCCGTGTTCGGTGTCCAGGGACTGCAGCAGTTGGCACTCGAAAGGTTTAACATTACAGCGGAGACGCCACTGGCGCGACGCATCACTGATATTCTGGAGCAGATTATGCATGAGCGCACGCGCTATATGAGGGTAAGTGAAAACACTCTCTTAATGTTACCCTAAGCGAAAGGATACATTTTTCTTTTTGTCTCTTGACAGATCACTTGGCTGCGACAGAACGACAAACTGGAGAGCGTGTTCCGGCATTTCCTTATCGAGGATCGGGGCACCGATGGCTCTGCCAGCTATGTGGATTTCCTCTGTCACATGCACAAGGAGATCAAGGATCTGTTAAGTTAGCACGTAGGCTACACGTACAAGCTGCCCACATCAGCAGCGGCAGCAGCTGCCTCCGCCTCCAGCGCTGGTGGACGCGACTGGTGCGATAGCTATTCCCAGAATCGGGCACGTATGCGACGGCTATCATCGATGCGCAGTCGCTTTGGCAAGTGAGGCAAGCAGTGGAGTGTTGTATGTCATCGTGTGGAGTGAAGCAGGCGCTGGAACTTCAATTATATCTACATATAAATACATACACATCTATATACTATATATATCTAATTATTAATTGCTATCATTTCGTGCGTATCAAATCTTCCATTAATTTTATTAAAGTTTTCACATTTTCCGCATTGTTTCCAACAAATTTCCACCCCTTTTCGATCTAAATAATTCTTGAGCGCCCAGGGCCTTCAAAAGAAATGAAACATTTTGTTAAACGAGGCCAACAACTAGCTAAAATTTTACTCTCTTATCAAATTCCATAAATATTTAAACAAGAAAAAAAAATGTAATTAAAAATTACTTGCAAATTTCCTCTCTCACACTTGAGATCTTTTAGGATGAGGTTTGATGATGATGTTAGATCATGATTAGTTTTTAGAGTGTTTTCTTCTACCATGTATTTTTTTCATATTTGTTGCAATCATTTTGTGTGCACTGCGCCCTGCTTTTTATTCCCTTTACTTAATGTAACTGAAACGATTATTATTATTATAACAACATAAATGTTTTAATGTGAGAATTATTCTAATTCTTTGGTATATTGCCCCCTCCCACACTACTTCTCGTCCTTCCCATCTGCTCCTCGTTGTCCACATTATCGATAGAAAAACAAAAATTAAAAACTGTGTGTGCAACTAAAAACAAAAGATATATTACAGATAAATGAAGAAAAGGAATAAAAACTCTTTAATAAAAACACAAATTCTCTCGAAAGTATTTTTTTGTGTTTCAGAGAAGATTGAGTGGGGGATTTTGAATGAAGGCAAATATTTATAAATATTAACTTCGTGTTAAATTTGAAGAAAATTAATGGGAGTAAGAAAATTATGGAAATGATATGTTGCACAGAAATTACGATTCAGATTTTGTATAAAGGACATTTATCCGACGGTTTCTGTAAAATAAATGATCGAAGAACCATCGCTCGGTAGATTGTAAAATATATTAAAGATCCTAGAAATAAGGTATAAGAACTTGATAGTAAAAATATAAAATCTTCAAAATTGTTTTGAACACAAGATCGTCGATATGAGGGCTGGTTGATATATTGGCCTGTTTAAATACAGAAAGTTCATGGATAATTTTAATGCATAAATTCTCTGAATTTTAACTTACATACAGCTGTGTTCATAGAAATGTTCACTCTTTCAATTTCAACTTTTCTATACATTTTGCTTAAAATGGAACTTAAACATTAGAAAATAGAAAAATTCCGCTGCCTTTGCACTCCTTCTTCCTTTGTTTTACGACCTTCTACATGGTATTCCTTGAAATATATTTAGATATAGTAAAACCGTTGGATTTCAATCTTGATATATCCCAATTTCGCATAAAACATTAGAATTTTGCACTGTTGAATATATAAGTTATATATGTAGGTATGTATGTATATATATATTGTATTATATTTTATTAGGCCTTTAAATATCTAAGAATTATTATTATTTGACGTGCACATTTTACATTTACATAGATTGGGTTTGTTTCGTACTCCTTTTTGTGTTGTCCTTTCTAATTTTATTTTTGTTTTCTTTATATATTTTTTGTTTGTTTTTTAACATTTAGAAAAGGTTTTCTTTTAGCTTTTAGAAAAGTTTTTCCTCTTTAGCTTTTAGAAAATGTTTTCCTTTTTAGCATTTAGAAAAGGTTTTCTTTAGCATTTAGAAAAGAATATTCTTTTTCTTTCATAAATTTCAATGTTCCCGAAATTCAATAACAATTTAAAATAAAATAAAAAACATTTCCTAAGATGAATGTCTCTGCGAGTGTTTCTGTCTGTCTGTCTGCCTTTGTGTGTGTATCTCTGGGAGAGGTGCACATATACTTATGTGTGTAGCTGTACGCAAATTTAAATACAAAGTGAATGTGCGGAATTTGATAAACGTTTTGAACTAATATTCCGCCTGGCAATCACAAAATAAATATATCATAAAAAACACAATTTGGGGGGTGGGGGATTACATTTAAATATATATGGTATGTGTAATAAAGTAGGATCATCAGACAAAAAATAGATTTGCACGGCACTTACAATTAGGTGTTACAGTTTATAATTACAAAAACATTGCCATAGCTCCTATCTCCTTCTCTCTCTCTCACACTCCCGAGCTACACCCTCAAAAGTTAACTGATTTTTATTTTTAGCTGTTTAAATTTATTCTCAAGTCAAATACTCTGGAACACAAGTTATTCTTTATTTTGTTTAGAAAAGAACTTCAACTATTGGCTAGCATTTCGTTTTGTTTTTATTCGGAATAATTGTTGAATACGTAAAAGAAAAGAAATAATTAACCGAAAGGTGAACGGAGCAGTTGGATTTTCGATACTATTTTGCATTTTGCAGCTTCTCTTTATATCGTGTATATATATATATATATATATATAGATTGTATATCTTTTATGGCTGCTCTTCTCATCTCTCTGTGGGGTTTCTTAAAGTATATATATATATATATTTGATTGAAACTGAAAGGAGTCCCAGTCACAGCAAAAAGTTTCGTTTCTTAAACACAAAAAGCAGCAAAAATATGTATTCCAGAATCTGTGTGTGTGTTTTGTTGTGTGTATTTTTTTTTTTTTGGGGGGTCTCTGTTTCTTGTGTATGTTTTTTGTGTGTGTATGTGTGTGCTGTTGAGAGGATCTAAGGTATCCCATTCTATTTCGTAAACGCCATAAAGACCGCCCAAAGTATCTCGTTCGCATTCGGCTTGGCCGCCTCCGTTTCAAAATCAAGATCCAACAGCTCTCGCACACGCTTCATGGCCACCTCGTAGTCATCATCGTTTAGCGGTGCAAAGGCATTCTCAATGACATCGCTGGCATGCGCCAGAAAGATTAACGCCAACATACGCTTGTCCATGCGCTGTGGATCATTCACCCATTTGGACAACACCGAATCTTGTATCTACAAAACAGACAGAGAAGACGACTCTTTAGAAAGTTTTCTTTTGGGTGCTAGGATTATGGCCATATTCCTACCTTCTTAACCAGACGACATTTAACAACATTATCGTTGAGCGGATGTGTCGTCATATCGAAGAGCAGAAAATTTTGCTTTTCCGTTGTTAGCACACCCTTCTCCACCAGATTCTTGGCCAGACGTTCGCGTACATTTTTTAGCTGGTAGCGTAATTTCAATGGATTCCAAGTTTCACCTGAAAAAAAAGCCAAGCAAAATTAAGTAAATATAATCAAGTTTAATTATTATCTAATAATAAATACCACTAAGATATTCAATCCAACTCTGGACCGTCTCTGGTGGATCTGTTTCCTTAATGTGTTTCAACGCCTCATCCAAAAGAACATCACCCGTCGCCTGATCAGATTTCAATATCAATTTTCTAAGAAAGAGAAAATAGAGGTAAGTATTATTTAAAGGGCAGCACATATACATATTTCTTTATGAACCCACCTTGTACATAATCCACGTCGTCGCATGCCAGACTTTTCAATCATTACACGTCCACGGATGCCAAGTTCTATGAGAATGCAGCCACGCAATCCGCTTGATATGCAGTCATTCCAGAACGATGTGTAACCCTGCAACAAAAAGGTTAAGAAATTAGAGAGTTATAGTCAATTAATGAGTGCCTTTAGAGGTTTATGCTGGAGTTAATTCCCACTAGTATATAATTAGTTCAAGTTCAGTAACTCTAAAGTTATTGGGGAAGTAAGTGGGGAAGTGCCCCCAGGGCTCATAGATGTATTTCAGGAAAATGCACAAGCGAATAGTTAAAAAGATAATGTCCGAGAATGCAAGAACAAAATACATGCCATGCCATGGACGAACTGTTTGATCGCTCCAAGTTCAGAAAATGCTATAAAAAGGGGATAAATGCTACAAAATTTGAAAAAGCTTACTAAAAAAACACATCAACATTGTTTCGCTTAACCTTTTTCTAAATATTACACTTTGCTTAAATATTTTGAATATTTTCACTGTCATTTTATAGATTTTATTTTAAATTCCGATAGTTCATGAATAGACTTTTATACACCCCACTTAATATAAACGATGCAGAAGATCTGTTTACCAGTTTTAAGATCCATTGACACAGCAACCTTGTCTGGCTTTCCATTGATGGAACATTTCCGAGATCAGACTACAGCCCGAAAAGTTGGATTGTGCTCGGTTCTCGTTTATAAAGCCAAAACAAATTCAACTGTTCAAAAGTTTAAACAGCTGTTTGATTCCCGTTCAAAAAAAAGCCTCTTTGGCCCTGGCAACATTATAATTTATTAATATTGCCTTTCCAGCTTTTTTTCCCCTCGTGCAATATGTGAAAATTTCATTTTTCTTGGTAAAAAAAAAAAGGCGATTGCATATTAGCGTATTTTGTTCGGTATATAATAGACTTTAACTGTAGATTCCATCCAGAAATTTATCGACTGTTTCCAAAGAAACCAAAAAGCTACAACAAATGCTACAGATCTTTTCTTCTATCAATCAAGCCATCGATTATTATGAATAGCACCGGTAAAAGGCAGCCATAACTTTTATTTTTCTTCAAGTGATTACCAGACTCTAATCACGCATGAATCATTCGTACTTTCACGTACTATAAAGCCTTATCATTAAGGCTCATTCTTTAATGTATATCTTTTCAAATATTGAGTGGCGTTCCATAGGGCTGATAAGAAACGATGAAAACGGATGAGTAGCAATCATGTGCGGTGGAACATTTTCTGTAGAACTTCCTCAAACAATTAACCAAATGGTGAAAAAATGTCTCTGATAAGGGACTACTACACAGAAGAACTTTGAAGCGAAACAATGGAGACGCGACACGTTCACGTCCACGTCCGTTCGCTGGTTCCTCCCGCATACTGCAGGCATAATATACTACTAATAAAAACAAATAGACGTCGTATCACTCATTCACAGAGGCATATATACCGAGATACATACATATGTATATATATACGAGTGTACATACATACTTACATCACTGAGTACGACAATTGAGCGATAAAGCAACCGAGCGAGTAGTCGGAGCCCACCAAATGAAATACAATACAAAAAAAAATGTATACCCTCCAATGGGGCACGTATTTTAATGGCAAACATACCAAAAATTATGCAAAATGATTTACTGAATATCTCAATAATATGCAAATTAAGCAACAAACACTTGAACGAATGCCGTAGACAAAAAGAGAGTGAGAGAAGGGAAAAAGAAAAACTCGTTTGATGGCGGAATGCCCCAAGCCGGAGGCTGTCTTTGATTTTAAGTTTAAAGAAGAGCTGAAGCGTGGAGCACGCGTTGTAACAGGAAGATAAGAAGTGTTTCTAATGGAATAATTCTAAAACAATTGTAGAATGTAGGCTCCAGTTGTACTTCCAAGGTATTCAATAGCTTTTTCGCTGTGGCATTGACAAATTTCATGACATGAGGCTACCATTTCGTAGATAAGAGCAACAAAATCATTAAAATTGGAGAACAGTTAAAAACAAAATAACGATTGACATAAGTTTGATTTTACACATATTGAGCACATTGAATCCTAGCAAAGATCTGTTTCTGTTTAGCTTTACCCAAAATACATCCAATTACCAACCAAGTAGTCTGTCCATCTCTTGGGGGATGTATTTATAGAAAACTGAGTAATTTAATCGAGTTTATGCTGCCCCAACAGCCTGTGGATTGGATAATTTAAACGTAGTCAATGCAGACCCCAAGCGAAACAAACACTGATAAAACGAGTGACGGAAAGTGAAGAGATAGTGGCAGAATACCTTTAGATAAAAGCCAAAATAGAATTTAAACAAATTAAAAGCTATAGGCATTAGCTCTGCATGAAGTATTAGCCAGCAGTTAAGCAAAACGTCAGAGAATACAGATTTATGGCCACAACAAATGTCGGGAGGGGGAGGCAAAGTGGACACTCGCTTGTAAAGCAAGTGTAACTTACATACATGGAAAAAACATTTAAAGTTTATTGCACAACAGACCTCAGCAAATGGGAGACGAACGAACTAGTATGGGGGCCACGACAAGCCAAAAATGCAACAAAGGGTAAAGAGCAAGAGATCACAGTCGAACTTGCTAAACATCTTCAGCGAAGCAATTAATTAGCGCTCGAGCACGAGAGATAAGGCGGGAACGTACTCCACTACCCTCCTCTCTCGACGAGTGTTTTTTTTTTTTTTGGGGTAACGCACCTCTTTGTCCTTGAGGCCCAGCAGCAGGACCTCCTCCATAAGCGTTAGCCGTGTCTCCTTGGAGTCACCATCATCGATGTTGTCCTCCTGATCCTTGTTGCTATCATTTGCATCTTGATTGTCGTCTGGGGTATTGGCGTTCAAGCCACCAGCAGCACCCTCGGCACCGTTCTCGCGATACTTCACGGTGCGCCTGACCAAGCCATCCGAGCGATTCATTTTCTGATGGAAGCTACAAATGCGATGATGATGATGATGTTGTTGTTGCTGTTAACGCTGGCTGGCGCTTTGCCCTGCCTGCCTGCCTGGTTGCTGCTGTTGGCTGGTTCTTTTTGTGTGTGTGGCACAAATTGCTAACCTGACTCGTCGGCTGCTGCGGTTTGCTGGTGGTTGCCTGTTTTGCTGTACGCGCGCGGGGTCTCTGTATATATTTTGTGTGTTGTTATTTCTGCTTCTTTGTTTGCACCCCCGAACTTTTCTCTGTTTCTTTTTGCACACACGCACTTTTCACTTCTCTTCTTGCACTAGAATGCACTCTAAACTACGTCGTCGTTGGGTCTCTCGTTGCTTGTTTACCGTTTACTTTGGCTATATAACTCTGTAATTTAATATAATTTAGCTACACATCCTAAATATTTAGTCGCAAATCGGTGCGTTTACTTTAAATATATGAAATCTTGCACGAAATAAGCTTTTTTTGTATTATTTGTCGTCGCTTCTGTTTCTTCGACGTGACATTTTCTTGCCTAGTGTTGCAAAGCGCATCAACCATTGGGCTGGGAAACTGGCTTAAACACGGATTCACACTCTATATAAATGAAAACTAACAAGTCACTTGACTATTTTGTATTAAATTGGTAATTGAAACACACAAAAATATACAATTTAATGCATTTTTGTGTACACCCAACAGCTGTTTGGGCAGTGTTGTAGGCTGGTTACACGATATTTCACCTGCTATCGATAGTGGTGCAATCGTTGTGTGCTGCCAGCACTAGTAAAAAAAAACATTGGACAGCAGGATTTTCCTAAAATTTTCTATTGTTTATCAGTGCCACGCCCACGTGACTCCGTAACCATGTCGTATTTAGCCAACTTCAACAACGAGAATGCCAAGCAAATCCTAATGGACATCATCCGGTGTGTGAATCAGCCGGACAACTCGAAAAAGCTGTCGGAGGCCAAAGCCTCCGCTGGCAAGGAGATGGTGCTAATGTTGCAGCACGTATTTCCGCTCGTGATGAACCTGCAGCTGGAGGTGCTCAAAAGCCATGGCTTTCCCGGAAACCGAGAGGGCCTCGTGCAGTTCTCACAGCTCATACGGGAAATGGAACGCGAGGATATGGAAATTGCACGCCTGCGCAGTCAGATTCGTGCCATCTATTTGCCGCCCATAGCTATAAATACCACAAATGATATTCTCATTTAATAGGCAGTGTATTAGACCGCCCCGCTGCACCCAAGACTGTATCTAGGCTTAAGTTATCTTTCCACACATAAAAGAGGAAATTCTTGTTATACATTTTTTGTGTCTTTCTGTATTTTTACAAGTTTTGTTCGTCTATTGCTAAAAACAATAAGTAACATGGCATATGGTTTCATATCTATAAACAATTAAGGATTTGTGCCAGTCCACGACATACATACATACATATATACTCGTATTTATACATATAAATTATCGTCAGTTCCGAGTTTAGGATATGCAGGCCCCGCATTTGGGACCAATTTGTTGTTAACTATAAGTAAAGGGTTGCCTTAAAAACTAAGCATTTATGTACACGTCAAGTAGTGAGAGCTGCCCTCGAAATAATTAAGCGAGCATAACTAGTGGTTAGCATGCCCATTTGTGGTTGGTGAATTATTGTTATTGCCATTCTGATAGTCTGTCGCCGTCAATTTAATTGGATCTATGCTGGCCATGTCATTGCCATTCAGTTTATGCTGCAACTGCTCTAGCTGCTGGACAAAATGTGCATCCTCCGCTGCTGTTGAGCTGCTATCGGCATCGTTTGTTAGGGACATCGACATGGGGGAGTGCGGTGTTACAGGCGTTGTGCTGGCACACAGCTCCTCAATCGTTGAATCGCTTTGATTCGAGGGCGTGCTGGAACGTGAACGCACCGGATATGCATCATCTATGGGCAGGGCAAAGCCCTGTGTAATCATCAAATCGCCAATATTCAAATCAGCTCCTTCGGCGGGATCAAACAGCTCCATGCCTGGCAATGGTGTGCCCTCGCGGGTGGCTGCATTCACGCCAGCCGTCACCTTGGGACGCTCCTTGTAGGTGACAACGCGTGCGATAAGCTTACGCCAGTGGGCCACTAAATATAGACAATTTTTATACCCAATTATTTTCATTTCAAAAAGGGGTCTAAGGCGCCTTAACTCACCCTCTGTCATCTCTTCAAACTTTGCTATGGATGATTTTTGCCATGTATTTGGCTCATTGTTAATGGTGGACTTGACATTGGCCAAAAAGCATTCAACCGCTTGGAATCTGAGGGGAAATATCAGCAGAAATTATAGCAATAGCCACGCCTAAAGCTATGCGACTCACCTGAGTGTTAGGAAATCGGTGCGCAGCTCACAAATATCCGCTGGGGAAATATACTCGCTGTCGCCATAATCCACAAAATAAAGATCAATCACCAGCTCCTGGGGATTGTATTGATTGGGCATAATGTCCACAATCTCGGCACGATACCATTTCTCATCAAATTTAAACACAGCGGCCACTATCTGACCCACATAGGGTGCTGTCAGGATATGTTTGGCTCGGTTTTCGGCACTGCTATAGTAGTTGGTCATCTCCTTGACCATATCATCGAGTTTCTTTGACTGCGGACCCACCAGCTGCACCCAAAACTTTGTGGGCGAGGCCACAGCGGAGACATACACCTCCATGGGCTTATCATCGCCACGGGCAGCCATCAGTTTGTCGCGCGGCTGCATAGAGCTGAGCGATGTCTGCGACGAGTACAGGCTGGAGGAGGCCACGCTATTGGTGGGCGAACGGCGTGGCTCACGGCGCTGTTCCACCTCCTCTACGGAACGCAGCAGCTCTTCATCCTCCTCGATCTGATCGTCCAGCAGTTTGCGTGCAATATTCACCTGCTTCTGATTGCCCACCAATGTGATCTTGGCCTTGCCATTCCGTCCATTCGTATCGATTGTGAGCTTGGCCAACGAATTGCGACCAATGTCTTGAATGATTTCGCCGCCCCGTCCATTCAGTTTGCTCACCAGCCGCTGTGGCACTTGCAGCTCCACTTTGACAATGGGCGCACGCTCGATTTCACGTATGAGCAGCACACGGGCTGCCTTCACGGCCTCGGGTATGCCGCTAATGTCACAATATTTGTGTTGGCTGTCCTTGTCGCTGAAAAAGGGAAGATGGCAACCCAGGAGGGAGTGTTAGCGACGGCTTTTTCGGCAATTTATGATCAAAAATGTAAGTCCAATTACCGTAATCTTATCTTGGCCGTGGTTCGTTCCTCAATCAACTTGATATTGGCACCTCCGCGTCCCATAATCAGCGGCACATGCTCATTATCCACCACAATTTTAAGTACAATTTCCTTTGGCCTCTGCTGCTGTTGCTGATGTTCCAGTTCTGTTTGATTTCTGGTCTCTTCTCGGTCCTCCTCATCGCTGCGATTCTTAAAGTACGCATACAGCATGGCACCGCCCAGGGAGCATAGACCCAGGCCCAATATCAATTTATATGTGGGCGTGCCACCAAAAGGAGTATTGCGCAACATTTTTGTGGGTTTTTATTTATATTTAATAATTTTAAGTCTCAAAACTTGATTATTCCTTGGAGTTTGCTGTCAACCTGCAACACAAAACAGATCAAAGGAATGTTAATGGAAATAAGTTAAGACTCTTGTCAAGGTCGCGCTCGGTCGTGTATATTTATTGCGTGTGGTACCCGGTACGATACTTGTACCTAAAATAGAATATAATACGACTTTGGTTAGGCATTAAATGTGTAAGGGAATCGATAGAAGACGAGGGTTAGGGGGTCTCCCTCCCCTCTGCTTACATAAACACTTATCAACTGGACATTCAATTTGACAAATTTCCGACATATTGCAGGCCGCAAATACACAAATGAAAATTTTGGCACACAATCCCCACAAAAAGTGACTTCATAATTGAAATTACCAGAGAGAGAGAAAGAGCGTGCCCGCTGCACAGAAAATAGATGTGTGACGTTACCTGGTGGCGACAACACTATGCAACAAATTTTTGAGTTGAAGCAATTGCAGCAAGGGATTTTCCTTGTAATACTTATGGTATGGGTTCACCTTCAATTAAAGCAAATCAATTCTAAACATAGCTTCCATATCATGGTGTTTGTGATAGAGAACCCAAGAGATCAGGCTTTGTTTTGGCAATTCAAGTGCATTCTCTTTTGCATAATTCGCCTGGGCATCACGAGTCGATGCGAGCAGCAGTAGTTTTTATCTATCTTTGTTTTTTCTACTGCAAATTTGTGACTTGACTTGTGTGTCGGATAGTGCCATGAAAAGCCATAAAGTTTAGCCATTACTTTACAAATTAAACACTTGGGGAATGCAATAATTAACCAAAAATAGAAACCGAAAAAGTAGTTTCAAAAAGTTCTCCCTTAGCCAGTGTCCACTGTCTTTCGTTTTGTTAAATCTCAATAAATCACAATATTGTCGAAGCTTTTGCACTGGTTCTTTGGACAAGTTAAACGTGTTTATGCGCTCATGTGTGTTATCAGACCGGTTTAACATTTATTTCCTTCAACTGCACTATAGAAAAACTAAGCCTCTGTTTATCTATTTACGTTACTGATAAAAAACGAATTAATTTTGGGGAATACATGGCAAACAACACCAAAAATAACTCATATATAGCACATTTAATTGACTCTTTTTGTTTTGTTTTTGTGGCGCTGACCTTGATCGTAATTTTCTGTCGACTGTTTATTTTTGCATTAAAGCTTTTCCTTTGTTTTTCTTTTTGCTATTAAAACAAATGCTTAAACTCAATGAAGCGTCTTATTTGAGTCGACAATCGTTGCGTTGTTTAGTTCTTCCATTTTCACGTCGTCTAGTTCGTTCGAAAGTCGTTAAATTATTAGAAAATTATTAATTCTCGCGAGAGATAGAAGGCTAGGCTTGCCGTCGTCTCCACATTTCAGTATAAACTGTTGAAAAGAAGGCAATTTGAATATTTGGACCCACAACGGTCGCACGGAGCAGTTCATATTGAGAGGGAGAGAGCCGCCATCAGCTGTTCTTACTCTCCCACCAACACACGCACACGAGACAGAGAGCGTCTGGCTGGGTTCTTATTGTTTACTTTGCCGGTTCATTTTGCACGGTATGGGTGGTATAGGAAGGGTATATTATTTCGGTGTACATGAATATAACAGGTGGTAGACAGCGTTGGCCAGTCCATAACGTATACGTATATTATAGATGCATTCTTAAACGCTAATATGTAAAACTATATATTAAAACCGGTTGCATACCAATTGGATGCTTTTTCTTTGTGTACATCAGCACACAAGCCCGATTACAGGGTATCCCATAGTCAGGTGAGTAACATCAACTTTAATTTTTTTAAATTGAATAGAGCTGCATAAGCACATGTCCGTGTATGACTCTGGTAACACTACCGCAAAACGAATTTTTCCCAAGGTCCAAACCGACTTCTGATAGATATGGGTTTAAATTTTTTAAGGTTTTTTTTATGGCAGACTTTTTTGATTTAGCTGGATTTTTTTTTTTCAGGGTTTTTATACGTTGAGACTTGTTTGAAGTAATTAACCGCAGAGAAAGATTTGGTGGGGGGAAGAGGGGGTTAGGGGGGGGGCCGGACAAGGGCGGCGGGCCAACGCGGGACAAAGAAGCGGCCATGTACAACCCTTGTTCGTTTGCTTTGTTCCCATGGGGGCCCGCGCCTCGGTTGCATTCCGGGGTAGGGCCTGCGATACTTGCAATACGCCCATACACAAAAGGTTCCGGGTGGTCACTTTTGTTCGCCCGATACGGTTTGGATCACTTCTAGCGTCATTACTTTCAAAGCTGTCTGGTACTGGTTAGTGGGTGGCTTATACCGTTTATCTTTAGTCTGCCTTATCATCAAACCTTTCTAAGCCCCAACTTTGAAAAAGTCGTTTTGTCCTTGAGGAAAAACGTGTTGACTAGTGTAATTAACAGCAATACGACTATTGGCAGAAAGTCAAATAATGAAAAGCAAACAAAGCGTAAATTAGCTAGCGGCAGCCTGTCTGATGCAGAGCGGGAGAAGAGACAGAGTGAGAGAGCGTGTGAGCACTAGAAAAGCTTAAACAGAACAGTGAGAGAGTGTGCAGAGTGCTAAATTTAGTGAAATGACATAATAAACCGTTCGCTTGGCTTAAGTTGTGGTTGTGACGCGTAAGGACGCCTAACTGTACTCTCGAACAGAGTTGATTTATGAATGATTTCTGAGTGGATTACAGCTAGTTTAAATAGATCCACCAACAAGTGTCGCCATTAGCTTTTACCTAGGGGACGGTCTCAATTCCCTCGCAAGGAATATTTTCTATGCCATGCCAACAATTGTGCGTTTCGTTTGCGAAGAGGTCACGCGGTGAAAATGCTTAGGATGAGTCGAATTTTCTATTGGCAAAGTTTCAAATTTTATTTCGCATGTACATACGTACATACATACGTATGTATTTATTGTCTCCGCCTGCCTGTTGCTAAATAAAGCCGCATCTACAACACAACAAATATCGACGTCATTTTAAGGTATTTAATAATCCGCGAGGCTATTTGGAGAAACGTTTTCAAGCAAGAATAAAATCTATAATTCAATGGAGTATATTATTTGCATTTTAAATTGGTATGCGCTGCAGGCTTGAAGCTTTGTGGAGTTCTTAATGGAAAACCAGTTTGTTGAGGAGAATAGGCAGTCAAAGATGCTGGAGATGCTACTCGTAAAAGGTAAAAAGGTCAATTAAGAGGTTTTTAAATGACTTAAAACTTGAATAGTTATGTACGTACACTACACACATATGTATGTATGCATATATTCGCGTCTGTGCGTACAACTGATAGTAAAAGTGCTGCGCTGCGAATTCCGTAGAACGGTGGGCATGTGTGTGTGTGTGTCCATTCAATGCGCAAACTTACCCTCTGCAGGCTATCCTTGATGCCCGTCTTTATGTTTTATCAATTTCCTGTATGTGTTTGTTCTATATCTAAATTATTTACGGTTGCACTTGTAACTATATTTGTAAGTCTTTGCCTGGAAGCACGATTTGTTATTGCAATTTTGACAAAAAAAAGCCGATTCCGCTTAAAAACGTGCGAAGCAGTGTGACCGCGGCCTTTTGGACGAAATATACCGTCTGGCCCTCAGAAATATACCGAAATATACCTTTTTATTATCAAAATATACCGTAAATGGACCGTACATATACTGACGGATGCGTTAATATTCCTCGATTTTGATATTCGGTTTAATATTAAAAGCTAGTTAGCCCTGTCAGCCCTAAGCAAATAATTTTGTCCAATTCATGAATCAATTTTCTACAAGATTGGCTGGTTTTTCAGATTTAGTTTTTATTGGATAATAAGGTTCAAACAAAAACGGCCAAAACATAAAACGTAAATGTTGACTAAATGTGACGTCATTGTTTCTGGTCAACCAAATTTCTTCTATGCGTATGGACTTGTGTATACCATATTTCCTTTAATTGGTGTTAAATTTGTTAAAACATTAATAATGATTTTATCCTAGATTGACGTGTTTTTTACCTGATATGCATATGTTTTGTGTTTTATAAATACATTTATCCAGAACAGTGCTGCTAATACATTTCCCAATGTTGCTGAAATTTTTCCCATACAAATCAAATGTATCTTACGGCGTTCCCGTTAAGAACATGTGGCTCACACCACGAAAAGGAGAGCAAATTTTGAAATGAGTTTGACGGTCATTTTAAAAAGTATCTTAATATATTGAAAAATAAATTGGAACTTGATTAAATATACTTATACTGATATACCGTAATATACCTTCTCATTTTCAAAATATACCGTCAATATACCGAGCAGCGCAGTACAGAGAACATTGATTCCAAAAGGGGACTTTCCACATTATTTCCTTTCGGTTTCTAGAGCTTGGTGCGAACAGTCGATGTGACTTTTTCTTGCTTATTTTCTTCGACGTTTTATTTAAAATTAATCATGAGGTTTGAACAAGAACTGCAAGGAATTTTGCAAAAATTGCGTGATACCGACAGTGCACGCTTCAAGTACCTTGGAGATGCTTTCGAAATCGTAGAATATGCACATAATAGGGCATCTTCCTCCGGGGATTCATTTGGCTTTATTCAATCAGGTAAGTTATTGGACCTCCGGAAACTCCAATCAAATGGGTAATTCTGTTTTCCTTGCAGGAAGCTACTTGGATAGAACGAAGTTGAAGACTCATGATGAATTTGATTTTCATATGAAGGTAAAGTTACCATTCCCACTCATCCTGAAGAAAGACGAGAAGGGATTCGTGTTCTTGTATGCAGATATCTACAAGCATCCTATGGTAGTCAATAATTACGTAAATAGAAAGAAACTTCATGATTGGTTCGGCAGTAAAGTCAAGAGTGTGGGCCAATGTCAATTTAAATGCAATTCTGGAGAATGCTATGATTTGAAAGCCAAAGACAACGGATGCGCCCTGACCATTGAAGCTGAGGGAAAACATATTGCATTATCGGTCGATTTAGTGCCAGCATTTGAGTTTACTTTTGATAAGTGGCCGTTGGACATGCCACCAATTTTTGCTGAAGTGAACTCCAAATGGTACGCTGTACCGCACTCCAAATGGTACGCTGTACCGCACTCCAAGCGGGGATCCAGCGGGGACGAGCGCACTTTTATGGTGTGTTCCCCGCACTGGGAACGTGAAGCAACAAAGGATTTGAAAAATTTCGACAATGTGTTACGCCTAATGAAGGGAGTGAGGGACGCTAACGTGCATGATTTGCCCCATCTATCAAGTTACATGTTGAAAACTGTCTTGCTCCATCAACTGGGACGCGTTGATTGGAAAAAAGATTTGGGCACTCTTTTTCTAGAGATGTGGTCCTGTTTGGTAGATCACCTTAATTCTGGAAACTTGGACTTCTTTTTGTGCAAGGGAAATAACATTTTTGATGATATGCCATATGGGGCATTACTGGATTGTCGCATTTCAGCTGAACGCCTACTGGCTGACTTCAAAAAAGCTGAGAATAATTCTCTAGAATCTCTATGTCTAGACCCTATGTTTAACGTTTAAATAAGAGCCATCTATTATATGCACTTAACGTTTTGTATTGGAAAACTGTAAAACGAAAATTACATTTTTTATTTCTTTCAAATAAATTCATATCTTTACTCACCGAAAGTCATTGGGTTCATAATTAAACCGAATAAACCTATAATTCACTAAAAAAAATCTGATTATTGATTTAATGAAAATGTTTTGTTTTTCTCTTATTGTTCAAATAAAGAGTGTTTTCGGGATAACGTGCATTGAAAGCCACTGCATTACAATTCCCAGAAAACGACGAATAAAAAAAAACATTTAATTATCTAGCAGAATTTGGATCAGATCGAAATTTAATTATGGCCACAATGTTTATCCACGGCATCATCGATTTCTTTAATATGCATAGAAACAGACAATGATGGGCGAACGCTTTGGCTATCTATTAAGATTGATGGACCTCTATGGCCACAGAGCTGCTGATGACCAATATCAAACGGCACCCCAAACGGAATTCATGCATCTGCTCGCTCACAGTGATTTGAATGGAAACTCCTCCTGCTTACCCAATTCTGTTCTCTTATTTAAACAGAAGGTTTGAATTAATACGCTAGCGGGCTGGAAAACCTTTAAATGCTCAGTGAACGGTCAAATTGAAAGCGCGCACTCTTCCCTATATTGTCATTTATTTGAAATGTAAGTATAAAATGCATTTGAGCAGCTAAAAGCTGTTAGGTCATAATCACTAACTCTACGGGCACACATTTACCCGTTTATGTCTAAGTACAATGAACACTTTCTGAGTTGCAAGGCGAGCGCGTGCGCACACACACATTTTGGAAGAAAAATCAACAACTTAAGGCATTATGGCATGGGCTGGCGTGTCTAGTGGGTTGGCTGTGGCCGTAGCATCTGCCCACACACCTGGACAGCTAGGAAATGTCTCTTAACGTATTTGGCTTGCTGCCATCCATATCAAAGCAGCGACAATTGCACGAAGAGACAGGACATTCCGAATTTTGTCTGCAAATAAAGGAAATTAAATTCAATTAAAAATATTTCTGGTGTTTTTTAGGACTCACTTGAACCACTGCATAATGTGCTCGGTGTGTCCGCCATGTCGACATGTCTGACACCAGGAGAACCACTTGGAAAATGGCTTCGTTTGCCAGCCCTGCACCTCGGGCGTGGTGCTGGGCGTCTCGCCGTTACTCATATTAATCATCGTACCCATATGCATCAGACAAAGCGAGCAGCGTGGCAGTGGCTTGCGGCAGCTGGGACAGGACGACAGTCGATTTGTGCTGGTCGTGGTGCTGCGTGGCCGTGGCTCATCCAGCAGGGCATTGGAGACGGCTTTGCCACAGAAATTGCACGACAAATAGACGGTACGCGAGCTGCGCGCCGACGAGCGTATGCCCTCGATTTTGATGTCCAATTCGGCACGCTTCTCCCACAGGCCCCAGCTGTTGAGGTAGTCCAAATAGCTGGCGATCCAGTACTGTATGCGCTTGTCCGTGAAATGCTCCTGCCGGAAGTAATTGATGGCCACCAGGGCCACAGTTTGCACATCAAAACTGGTATCCATATACGACTGCAGTATGCTTATGCCATCGAGCGATTCGCCGGTGAGCAGCAGTCCATTGAGATCGCCACACTCGATGGCCGCTTGTATCTGTTGCTTTACATAGTCCGTCAGCTTCGTCTCCGACAGATATTTACAGGCAAATGCCATGCGATCGGACAGCGATACGCCGTCCTCCTTCAGCACAGCCTCAAAGTTATCCTTCTCCATGGTGAGAAATGAGAAAATGGCTCTAAGATGTGGATCCTGGATCTGCATATTCGCACTGGAGCGTTGATTACGCGACGTTGAGCTACAGCGATCCGCATTGAAGCTGGACAGCGCAATCACCGTGATCCTGTACATGCTGGGATCCCGCATGTTATCCGCCGCCGAGGACAGTATATTGCAGGCATGCATAATCTTCAAATGGAACACACAGATCATGGCCGCACGGCTGTACTCCTTGCTGGCATACAACTGATCGATAAAGCGCTCCAATTCATGCTCAAATGTCCAGCCACACAGCTGCAGGGCATGGTCACGCTGTTCGCTTTTGTAGCACAAAAGTTTGTTGGAATTATTGATGCCATCTGGCCACTGCAGCTGCTGAGATTCGATGCGTGAGCTGGCCATCAATGCCTCCGATGTGTGGCCCAAATTGATGCCCAAAGCGGACTTCAAACCGGACAACTGATCATCGCAGTAGACATTGTTGAGCGTTGCCCAAACATTCCGTAGATACGGAGTGAGATGCAGCTCTGCAAATCGCTTGTTATCCGGCTTGATGCCATAATCCTCGAGCGCACGCTGCCGCGTCTCATCCACCAGATCGAGCTCAAAGAGTTCCGGCACCAGAAAATCCACATTCAAGGCGGAATGTGAGCCGGGTCCACTGTAATCCAGCGAACTGCCAGCACTGTTCAGACTGCAGCTGCTCGTCGGCTGCTGTGTGGGCGTAGCTGTCGTGGATGTGGGCGAAGCGGGCGCGTACAGCTGACGCTGCATGAGCAGCGGTAACTTCCTCCGATTGCTATGCGCCGTGTGCAGCGTGGCAGGCAGTCGGAAATCCAAAATATTCACAGCATCCGCCAGCAGCAGAGCGCGCTCAAAGTCACGCGAATGCCAGGACAGACAATTGACGGACGCAAACTTGCCACTGTGATGATATTTGGCCGGAAACGGACTTATCTGTCGCTTCACATGATAAATCTCCCGGGAGTTCTCGTTCTCCACGGTGCGAATGTCGTAGAGCGTAATGTAGGAGGAGTCACGCTGCAGCGACGATAGCAGGCTGTTTCTGGTGGGACACCAGGCAATCTGCAGATGATTTCTGGAGGATTGTATCTGCCGCAGTGGCTGCTTAATGGAGCGCACATCCCACAGCATAATGATGGAGTCCACATAGCTGCACAGATCATTGCCATTGGGCGCCACCGACAGACCCTGGACAGTCTTTGTTTGTATGCTCTGGCAGGTGGCATTGTTCTCTAGGGAATTACAGGATGCAGGATGCAGGATTAGTGTGTGGGTTTGTAGAGGGTGCCCCTGGGCCACTCACGTCTCAGATCAAACAGCTTGATCATCTTCTGGCTCATGCCTGCTATTAGCATGCGATGATTGCGATCCCAGCAAAGCGAATTCGCAGACTCGGCCTGGCCAAAAAAGTTGGCCGTCTCCTTGGGCACACCCCGTTCCGTGTCCCAAATGGTTATGCAGGAGTCCGAGCGATGGCGATCGTGGCCAATGGCCAAAATGTTGGCATCCAACTCATTCCACGCGAGGCAAGTGCACATACGCTGCTGACGCGGCGCTGCAAAACGAATTCAAGTGTTAGCCGGAACCACAGCGAAATGTAAACTCTACCCACTGTACTCCCAGCTGCTGTCGTATGTGTCTCGAAAGTTGCATATGCCAATTTTGCCATCTGCCAGGCCCACGGCTATGATGGGCTGATGGCTGTGGTAGGAGGCGGCCACACATCGCGCATACTGATACCGCGACTCGTTGGCCAGATAATTAACCGAGATATAAGGCAGGCGACCTGGTGATAGATGAGAGTAATGTAAAAGTGTCTCAAAAATCACCAATATGCTACACTCACTTTTCTGTGGGGCATCATCCTTGCTGCGCACCTCATACAAATTGATTTCCTGGCCCCACGAGACGAATTTGTCGGGAAAGTTGGGAAACCAGCTGAGCCCGTGTATGTTGCCACTCATCATAAGCTGTTTTCCATTCGTTTAGCAGTGTTTTTAAACAGATTTTCACAGATCTGCAGCCTAATTGCGTCGCGTTATCAGTTGCAAAAACAAAAAACGTGAGATAAACACACACACACACCCAAGAGAAATTGTACTCACACACATGCAAGGCCGGTCAATCAGCTGTTTGTGCCGCTGGCCATTCTTCAGCATTGTTAACACTAACATCGTTACGGCGTATGCAACAGTGCTGCCAACTTGTTATCAGGAAAAAAGCGGTTTCTGACTTTGACAAGAGACAAAAATAGCTGAAAAATTCCAGAAAAAAGCCCTTTTTAAGTTTAATTTATGGGTTATGTGTTTAATTTTGTATTTTTACAGTATTAGCCTCATTAGCTCATCATATCTTAATTCCTTAATTTCGACTACACCAGATTAAACCCTCTTCCCGCAGTTCCCAAATTTTTTACGCAGTTCTTCAAAAAGAAGTAGCCGAATCGGCAGCACTAGTAAGCAATTCATTGTTTTTATTTCCGTGACGATTTGTTTTAATTTACAACGTGTCCTATTCCTTTCAATTCTTGTAATGTTACCAAAAACACCCAAGCCTGCAATTTGGAGATTCATCAAGGGTAGCGCCAAGACTCTGTTTGTAGTGGAGGCTGTCTGTTTTGCGGCCAGCTACGGAGTCTATTACCGCATGAACACGAATCGAGGCAAGTCCAGTGGCCGGGCTTTTATATAAGTTTTCGAATAATAAATATTTCCTAATTCACAGAGTTCCGTCAGCATATACACGAGAACTATCCCTTTGTGCTTGATTACTATTACAAAATCGGCGAGATAGTCGGCGATAACAAGGCTCGTCAGACGGACGCCAATTATTGGGGCACCCTGAAGAAAAGCGACTAAATCATGTTTGGCAATCCGTATCTAAAGTCCCTGTTGTGGCTTGTATCCTTCGGTGGCATTGGCTATGGCCTGATGCTGCTGACCGAACCAAATGCCGAGAAAATTGAACGTATAAAGGCCTCGTCCCGCGGTCATCCCAACCAAACCGACGATGAGAAAAGGAAGGCACTGTTTATGAAGCGTTTGCAGGAGGCGGCCAACACCAGTACACCACTGTACAGGACACCAACAGGGGACAAAAAAGATTAGTTAAGAGCTTCTTTTCATTTAAATTGTACGTAAATTGTTAAACAAATTCGAAAAAAAAAAATATAAATGTTGAGCATTTAATTCATTCGCGCCTTGTGCACACACTGATGGGTAGTGCTGCAAAACGCTACTATTCGCGCCTTTCAAGCCAAAGCAGATGTTGCTTTTGCCGCAATTTGCGTTTAAATTAGTTAAATACTTGCATTTAGGTGCACGCAGAACGTAAATAGCAACGTCAACATGATTCCGGAACACGTGCCATTGGCATCCATGGCGAATATGCCATCAGTTGTTCAGTTTGGCGCCAACAAGGATTTCCAAACGCGAACCCATCAACAGGAGCTGGACAAATCATTTCTGGGCTTTCAGAAGCGTAACTGGATGCACTCCAACGGCAAGTTAGATACAGCGCGTGAGCGGGAGATACTCAAGTCGCTGCTGGCCACCACCATAGATACGGATCACTCCGGCCGCAGTTTGGACGACCTCATACCCAATGGCATCTGCTATCGCGACTTGGCCACGCTGACCGACGAGGATCTGCAGCTGTTTGGTTTCACCTCGGCTCTGCATCGCAAGGAAATGCTCAACACATTTGCCCAAATGCCCAACCAGGATCCCAGCTACGATTACCTCTGCAATACAGAATTGGCCAAGCAATACAACTCTCAGATTCTGGGCAAAACCACAAATCATGCCATGTCGCTGCGCGCCTCCTTTGCGGCCACCAACTACAAGATGCAAGTGATGCCTGTGGAAGATCTTGTGGTGGGCGATAAGCGCTATGCCAGTCGCTTTGCTCTGGAAACTTTGGAACAGATGTCCAGGGACTTGAAGAAGATTGAGAAAACAGTCAATGAGCTGCAGAAAATTGATGATAACCAGGCCAAAGGAGGCAGCAAGAAGGTGAAGGAAAATATTCATACTTATTGTGGTGTGGTTTTATATGTACTTTGTTTTGCTTTCAGAAGAAGTTAAATTTCGTTACTTGCGCTTACTACGCAGCCATGGCTTTGGGTTTGTCCTGTGCCTGGTTTTGGTGGTGGTCCAAGCATAGTGCACCCGCACGTCTGGACCGCATCTCGGTGGCAACTTGAGCGTAGAGAAAAAGACAAAGCTAAGCATTCAATCGATGCATTCCCCCGTGGAAACAGTTTGCTTTCCAAGCTCTCAATTGATTTTAAGATATACGAAGGTTTCGATTCTATTTAAGTTGAAAACGTGAAACATGAACATCATTTAGAAAGTGTATTATTTCGGACAAAGAAAAGCCATAACTTAGCATGTAGCCCACACATATATATAATCGCTGCATTCCCCCTTGGAAACATTATTAATTTCCAAAATTCTCTCATAGATTCATAAGATTTTGTAATTAAGAAGAAAACTCTGAACATTAATTATATAAAAGTGTATGGAAAGTCTTTATAATTAATTATTTTAAACTTAGTTCCTCGGCCAGCAGCAGAAATCCCAATTTAACATAGATATCGACTTGCTCGGGATACTCCCAGAGGGATGTGTGCGCTATCAGTTCGGTTCTCCTGGTGCAGTGAGCAATATTCTCTACAAATAAATAGAAACGTAAATATATAATCTCCCAGTGGCATCCCTTACACTGCTCACCTGCAACCTGTGTCTTGACCAGCGCCTCCTGTTCGTAGCGATCCGCCAGTTCCATGGCAAACGCCACAAACTGCGCCAGCCGCCAGGAGCGAAAGAATATCGTGTCGGCCGCCGCGCCAGGCAGTTTTGTTAGCGCACGCAGCTGCCTCAGCGTTTCCCGCGTGTTGTTGGTAATGTCCCCAAAGATTGAAGCAATAATGGCCAACTTTTTACAGGGCAGCAGAAGATCATCTGGATAGGCAGTGCTTCTGCTGCTGCTGTCATCATCCTCGCTTTTCTCCAGGCACTTGGTCTTCTTGGCCTCAATGGCATAGCATATGGCGGTGCCGCGCTGCTGGGCTAGCTGCCATTTGGCATAGTTATCCTGCAGTTGTTTTACCAGCGTTTCCAGGCGCGTCTTGCATGTGGCCAAAGTGGCATCGTGACTGGTCGGAGATTGCAGGCAAGGGCTGTCCAGATCTACAAGCGCTCCAAGCTATTATAGATACAGACGAAATGATTAAGCCAACTCACATCGCACTGGAGTTAAAGATGTATTTTGTATATCTGTTTCGCTTTGTTTTTGCGGCGTTTTGTTTGTTTTGGTCATTTTTTCAGGTTACATGAGAATGATTAACCCATTGTCCACCAGGCGTTATTTAAATACTCCCACGAAAATGATGAAATTTTAGCACAGTCCAGGTGAAAGGTATCATGGTCATTTTGTTTTGTAAGTAAAGATATCGGTGGATCTACAAGGAGAATTAAAAAACTTTATACTTTTCCGCGGTTTAACTCTAGGTAATTATGCATGGGTGTTAAAGGTGTTAAGGGGTGTTAAGAGGGTTAAGTTCGCTTATTAAGCTTAACAACACTTTGACACCACAAAAGTGCCGGTAATTCTCTGTCAAGTCAAAGCCATTTTGCTTTAAAATTTGTATTCAGAACCGTAATTAAACCGGAAATTCTAGAAAAATGTCGACCTGGACGCCACTCGAATCGAACCCAGAGGTATGTACTATAACTATGAAGAGTTGCGGCTGTTTTTTCAACTTTTGCCACTGCGATATTGGCTGATTGCGGGCATTGCAAAAAGGGCTCCTTTGCAAATTGGCAATTTTAAGACGCCATTGATATTATACCCATTCCTAGGTGCTGACCAAGTACATACACAAGCTAGGCGTGTCGCCGGCCTGGGGGGTGATTGACGTCATTGGTCTGGACGAAGATTTGCTCGGGTTTCTTCCCCGTCCAGTAAAGGCTTTCATCTTGCTCTTTCCATGCAGTGAGGCTGTAAGTGCCGCCGCTCAGCACAACAAAATTCCTTAGATATTAACTTAGATTCTTGCAGTATGAGAAACACCGTGCTGAGGAGCATGAGCGCATTAAGGATGTGAAGGAGCAGCATCCCGATGATCTGTTCTATATGCGCCAGTTCACTCACAATGCCTGCGGCACTGTGGCCCTCATCCATAGCGTGGCCAATAACAAGGAGTATGTTGCCATTTATTAGCATAACCAAAGATCTATTCTTATCCTGTGTTTTTCCCTGCAGGGTGGATGTAACTGGTGGAGTTCTTAAAAAGTTCCTGGAGAAAACCGCCGCCTTGTCGCCAGAGGAGCGTGGCAATGCCTTGGAGCACGATACCGAGTTCACAGCCGATCATCAGGCTTTGGCCCAGGAGGGTCAGACCAATGCCGAAGAGCATGAGACTGTGATCCATCATTTCATTGCTTTGGTGAACAAAGAGGGCACCCTCTATGAGCTGGATGGACGCAAATCGTTTCCCATTAAGCATGGCAAGACCAGCGAGGAGACCTTTGTCAACGATGCGGCCAAGGTGTGCAAAGAGTTTATGGCCCGTGATCCCACCGAAGTACGTTTCACCGTTTTGGCCTTGACTGGTGCGCAGGATTAGGCGGGCCGGCTGCCTGCCAAAAGAAGAATACGATGATCTCTGATCTGCCAGATACAACCACAAACATATACCACATACATTATTATAGCCCGGCTTAAAGGCGCTTGCGGGCACGCCTTGAAGCCAGTTGAAACACATAATTATGCATACATAATATTTAATTAGCTTGGAGCCAAAAAAAAAGAAACGCCACACTGTATGGGAAGCATTTAAAATTTGTAATTAAAGAGTTAACACTCAAAGCTTGAAGCTAATCATAAAAGAAAGCCTTCCCATATGTATTTGTATATATTTTTAGAGATTTTTGCTTGTTTAAATTTCCCCCCCCATTTGGCACAGCTGATAACGCTGTGACCTCCAGTGCGCATGCCTTGACAATTGGACATGCTCCACGTCGTCGCTTGACAGTTCTACATTCCACCCCCTCTCGCTCTCTCTGCAATTAAACCAGGTTTTTCTTGCAGGCCAGCTGTCAAAACGGTCCCCAAAACGAAGTGGAAAAGGATTTTTTTGGGCCAGAAAACTTTCAACTTTAAGCCAGCGAACCCTCTGAGAGTGCCGCCATCGAGCATATGCCCTGGGACAGTCGCTGCGTGAAGGGTAAGGGCAGAGCGAGGCGGAGCAACGTCGTTTTAGCATGTTGCTGCTGAAGGAACTGATGCGTCTGGCCACGCAGCATCGCACCTTCTACTGCTATGTGCTGCTCAGCATTTGGATCTTCCTACTCATAGCGGGTGAGTCCACACGGCACTCTGAATCTATCATTTATCTAATCCATGGAAATCCTCCCTCCATCACAGGCATGTATCGCTATATGGGCAATGTGGAGAGCAGCTCTGGTGCTGGCGCTGGCTTTGGCCCCAGCTCGGGCACAATCAGTTCCTTGGGCGACTCCTCCGCCTCCTCCTCCTCCTCCTCCTATGCACAGCGCTTTGCCAAGTATCGGGAGCGTTGTGCGCCGCTGGCACAGCTGCAGCGTCTGGACGATGGCGGCATCTTGGAGGGTTGGAAGTTGCAGGGCGTGCTGCTGGTCATTCGGCACGGGGACCGTGGACCCATGTCGCATGTGCGCACCACTGGCATCAATTGTGGCGTTGCTGGGGGCACTGAAAACCTGGTCAACAGGTGGGTTTGGCTACTACACCACCCATCCCAGTTGGGTAATCTTATGCTCTCGCTCCCCCCGCAGATATCGCAGTTTTCTGCACAATTCGAGCAGCTCGTCCTCGGGCTCGAATCACATGTACTGGAACAAGGTGGGACCCTTTCATGGCTTTCCTTTGCTGCCAGCCACAGAGCGTGGCTGTCCATTGGGGCAGCTTACCTACAAGTAAGTGCTGGCATACACAAAGGAACGCATTTCATATTCGTTCTCCTCAGGGGCATCTCCCAATTGCTGCATGTGGGCGACATTATGCATCAGGTGTATGCCCATCCATTGGGTCTGCTACTCAAGCCGCCACTCAGTCGCGGGGGAGCCATGGAGACGACACCGCACACGCTGCTCAATTCGGATGAGGTGGTGGTCTACACCACGCGCTATCGTCGCACCTTTCAGTCCGCGCTGGCCATGCTGTTCACCCTGCTGCCGGCGGACAAGTGGCTGGGCCTGAACGTGCGCGAGTCCCACAGCATGGCTTTTTGCTTTGGCGAGTGCTCCTGTGGCCAGTCGGCGCTGCTGCGGAAACGACTGCAGGCCATGGGCGACAGGCAGCTGCTGAGGCGATCCGATGTGCTGGAGACAATGCAATGGATTGGCGGCACCTTGTTGCAGCACACGCCAAATGGCATCACCAATCCCTTTGAAGTTGTGGACGCAATGCTGACGGTGCTGTGCCACGAGGCGGCACTGCCCTGTCGCCGCAAGAAACGCAGTCCGACGGAGAGGCCGGCGAGGAAGAATCCCAACCAGGAGCTGGTGGATGTGATCAACATTGATCAGGATGAGACGGCGACGAATCTGCAGCAAGAGGCAAACAATGGCAACCTGGAGCCAGAGTCGAATGAGGCGGACAATGGCAATCCCGCCCTGCCACAGGGTGAGGGGGAGCATCCAGAGGGTTGCGTGGAGGCGACACATGTGGACGCCCTGATGTCCTTTGCCGATGATCTGTCCAAGCGTTCCGCCAATCATGCGTACTACAAGCTGTCCGGCCTGCTCAGATCCTATGGAATGATTCGGCACATCGTCAGCTATATGCTGAAGATGATATCCGGTGATCGCACCAAGTTCGTCCTATACTCCGGCCACGACTGCACCATGCAGTATCTGACAGCGGCGCTTGGAATCGCCAATAGCCAGGGCCAGACAATTGCGTATGCCTCGCGGCTGGCCTTCGAGGTGTACCGCAGCGAGGCGCACACAGACTACTATTTCCGGGTCGTCTACAATGGACGGGATGTCACGCAGCAGATTGACTTTTGCGAGGGTGGCAAGAGTCTGCGTGTCACCCGTGACTCGAGGGGCAACAAGGCGGATCTGTGTCCCATCGAGAACATTATTCGCTTTCTGCACGAGGATTACTTTGCCCCGCTGAATGCCACCAATTTTAAGGAGGCCTGTGGCACCACCAATCCACCAAAGGCAAACGAGTTCTAGGCCCATCGAGGAGTCTCCCACGCACTTCTGAAACTGTGATACGTAGTTAAGATGCCCCCGGCATAAGCCCAAAGCCAGCAGCAGCTCCACAGTCCCCAGTCCAATGCCAGCTATCCAGGCACATCTACGAAACGACCGCACCCTTGCGATGTTATCTATCTAAAGTTAGACGAATTTTTAGTTACTGAAAGATAATTGTTGATCCTGAAAGTCGAAATCGATACATATCAAATCGTGAATTCGAAGCTCTTACTTTGCTATATCCGATGCATATCAGTGTGTGAACGTTCGTTTGCCTAGACCTAAGTCCAAATCGTAAGCATATCAAAGCGAAACTTATAAATTAATTATACAACAAAAGTGGAAGCAGAAGAAAAGCCTTCCTGATTTTAGTATGTACTTAAATAAATGTTCCCGAATTTTAAAGAGTATAAATAAAGCTGTTGGATCCTATTTCACTGCAGTTCGAAGGAAATATTCCATCGATAGATGTGATTTAGATTTATACACATGGTAATTAGGTGTGTGTGAGAGAAGACATTCGGACCAGCTCACTTGGGCGTCTTAAAGGTCCATTGTGATCCTGCTCGGGCCTGGAGCCCTTTGAGTCTGCCTTCTATGGTTGCACATGTACGGAGAAGAAGTATATCTAGCTCCGTCTGCTGGGGGGAATGCATCACAGGCGCATACAAGATAGTTTGTCCTCGTGAACGCAACCTTTAATTTGTTTTACTTTTTCTCCACTTTTTTTTTTTTAATTTTAACTTTATTTTACTAAAAAATATTAACAATATTATGTATTCTATTTGCTTAAATTTTAAACAACTATTTCTATTTAAAAGTCCTAGTTTCGTCATTGTTATCCCTCGGTTTGTTTGTAGATGCAGAGCCAAATGCAATGGCCAACTTGTTGTGAGGCATTTTGGCACATGAAAAAGAGCTGGAAGCCCAAAGCGGGTAGCTCCATTGGCGATAGATCCTGCAGAGTCTCGGAGAATTTATTTAACACTGTCAACATTTCTCCGTTGCTGAGCTCTAAAGCCCAAAAAAAAATGGAAATTTGAGTAATTTTTAAGCATTTTATGGTCGCAACTTACTCGAACATGTCAGCAATGGGGGTGAGGATTGAAGATGGCCTCATACCTCTATACTCGGTTCCATCCGAGGCAACCCCATTGAGTATAAAACGTGGAGTTGCCGAAATCAGAGAAAGCGAATCTGGCAACAAATCCTTCCAACCAACACCTTGGCGTCTCCCTGTCGCATGCCATCCAAACAGTGATCGATAATCGCGGCCCGTTCATCAGCAGAGAGAGAGAAGGTGTGCAGGTCCCGGGTCAATCGTGTGATCAAATCGAACGATTGTTTATAGTTTAATTCTACACTACGCAAAACGTTTCTGCGTAGACTCTTCTGCCTCAGTGTCGCAAGCCAGTAGAAATTCCAGGAATTTATGCCTTCACTTCGGGATATCGTGGCATTCAGAATGTCTGTTAACTGTTCGAACAACAAACAATATTAATTTGTGTGGACACACACAAAAGTTTTATATGCATGCAAGAGAGAGATATCGGTACGAAGTAGCTGATTGCTTCGCTTTGGCTTTGGCTTTGACGGTTAGATGCCCCAGCGTCGCTTTTTGATCGATCGTTCGGCTCGTAAGTAAAAATATTATTGCACTCTCGCGGACACCCTGTCCCTTGCCACGGTCCCTAGTGGGTCAAAAACACAACCAGGTCTGCGCCTCACACCGCGAGTCTGGTTGCTGGGAAATTTTGTGATTTTACAAAACGATTGACTGGAAAAACCACTGAAGTATGCACCTCAAAAAGTAAATGAAGGTTTGTGCAGATTTCAATGGGAACGTGGGGATTTACACGGCTAAGGAACCATCACCGATTTCATAGGAAATCATAGGATTGTTAGCAATCCAGCTACGCTAGCTGTTGCTTATGAGCGTTTTTCCCCCAGTAACGCGCTCTCGAGCGCTATGACTCACCACGCTTACGCTTACGCTCCCGCTCTCGCTACCGACAGCCACCGGCAGTGGCTGAGCGCAACCCCCCCCGGTCACTGAATGCTCCTCTACGCCGATCTCCCTGTAATATACCGAATATAACCCTTATTTGACGAACTTGGACTTGCCCTGTCTTTTCTTGGGAAGTGATTGTTGGATTGAGACGCCTCTTCGCTCAAACAATGTTCATATATAGTCCATATATAGTGCTGACTGAGTACCCGATATAAAAGCGGATGCTTGGCTCGGCTCCGCTTTCAGTTCCGCTTACAAGTCCGAACGCGAGTAGTACAAAAAGTTTTTATGCGCCCAGCGTGCTAGAAAGACGTGTAGATTTTCCGTATATTTTAAAGTGCAACTATAAGGTATTTTTTTCATTAATATAGCCTGCACTTGATGCCATATTAACTACAAAATTTTAATTTTTAATAATAACATTACAAATTATGTTAAAAGAAAACTTATATAAAACGTGCATATGTATGTGTGAGTGACTCACTAGACAAGCAAAAGCTTTCCAGCGAAACAATAAAGTTAATTAAAAACATTAAATATCGATAACCAACTAAATAAAAAAAACATTTCGCAATTGTAACAAATCAAACACTGTGAGAAAATTAAAATGAGTCAAGTGAGCATTTTCAATTTGCCACCTGAGATCATCTTTAAAATATTTAAGTACGTAAAAGAGAACTGCGAGAGAGAGAATCCTTATGAGCGCGACGAAATCAAGTATGGAGATTTCATTAGTTTGGCCACTTGCAGCGTGTGGTTCGGCCATATTGCTGTTGAATGGGATAAGGGTCTATATAACAGGCTTATAATGTTAAAGTTTAGCAATGACCCCATTCACTCCATCGATCTTGGACATGTGCATACCTTCTTAAAGAATATGTCAGCAAAGTACAGGGAAAACTACTGGAGGCAGCACAGCCAGGCCATCAGGAAATCACCATATATAGATGTCGATTTGTTTTGCGCTCCCGAATCATTCCACAGTGATCACATGGAAGCATTTCACACCGTGATAGCTCAACTCCAAAACAAGCCAAATCTGAAAGAGTTACGCATTGATGTGCGGGGTGAGAGCATTATATGCCTAGGTCTAGGGGCATACATATTTAACATGGAACATTTGTTTATTTCAGGCTACACCCTAGAGGGTCTGGGAGCACTTAGAAGCCTCGAGGAACTTACATTGAATGTGCGGATGGATATTGATGATTTGATTGAAATCTGCCGCCTGAACAAAAACTTGCGAGTTTTGAAATACATGAATAATGAAACGGGAGGAAAGAGGCTGGCCGAGATCGCCCCACATTGCAGACAGTTGGAAGAACTCACCTTCAAAATGAGAACCGACTGCGATGCAAGCGAATACAGGCCTTTGGCTAAGATTCCCAGACTGAAATACTTACAAATCGCAGGCGTCCACGAGAAGGGCACTCTTCAGCCCCTGCTGGAGGCATTGGCCTGCAAAGACCTCTACACATTGTCCATAGTCGATGCAACATTGGACCACAATGAAACGCAGGAAATGGCCCAGATCGATACATTAATGCGAGTGGAGTGTGGATTTGACGATCCCCAGAGCATTGGGCTCTTGTCCCAACTGACCCAACTCTACAACTTGAAGATACTGTCCAAACACGACTTTGGCGCGATATCGGAGCCAGTTCGGAAGATTTTAGTGGAGTCAGACGGGAAAACGAATATTGAGCTGGTCAATTTGATAATAAATTACTCATTAGGGCTTGCGCTTTATTTCAGCGAAGAGAATGCGGATGCCTCGGACTACAGTCCACTTTTTACGCTGCCAGGTTTGGCTGGCCAGGATAGCACTTTGAGAATTCAAAAATCGCCCCAAGTTGCTTTACTTAAGTCGATTCTCAATGGATTCAGAAACGCACCTACAATGCCGAAATTGTGGTTGGAAAATATCACGGCAGAGGAATTCGCAGCTGTATCTGAAATCGTATCCCTGAAGAGGTTGACGTGTGGATTTGCCGAAACACAAAACGCTGAGCTCCTATCGGAGCTACCGGAGCTCGAAGAATTGACTATTACATCTGAGCCATTATCTCCAGGATCCCTCCAGGGCCTCCTGGCTGCTCTGGCCTCGAAGGAGCCGCAGACACTACAAAAGTTGTGTTTGGAAAAGATCTATACCGTGGAGGCAACGGAACTGGCCCGCCTGAGATCTTTGCGAGCTTTGGAATGTCAGTTCGCTGATCCTCTGGACATTCAGCTTCTGTCTGAACTAATCGAACTCGAAGAGCTGAAGCTGATTGGCGATGAAAAGTTAGACAATATGTTGCCTGGTGTCCTTGCAGTTACAAAGTCCTGCAAGAAGTTGGCTAGAATTGAGATAGACTGTTCTTCATACCTGTCCCCTCGTGCCAACTTGGAATTGGGTGAGATCCTCGTCGAAATTTTGAAGGACTGTCAAGATAAAATTGATTTACGGATCCACTTCGATATTGTGACATATGCGATATTCTTCAATCGGGAAACAAATAAATTGTACCTTGACATGGATTTTTTTGGACACGAAAGTCTCGCGATAGAATCCTTAGCCCGCCTTGAATCTGTAACCCATATGGATCTAGTAAATCGTAGTGGTGGCTCCCTGAGAGAACTCTTTGCCGCCCTTGCAATGAAAAATAATTCCAATCTACAGAGTCTGAACATACCAGACCAACTTCTCAAGTTTGATGACACGGTGGAATTGGCCAAGATTCCTTCGTTGACAAAATTTAGAGTCAGGATATCTGAAGCAAGTTTTCAGCATTTACTCCATTTAAGCAATTTCGTAGTAGAATATCCGGGAGCCGATGCCAGGTTTGTAATCTCAATTCTATGGCAAAAATTTTAATTGTTTTTCTATCCATTTATCCCCTAGAGAAATAACGTTCGATCAGTCCACTGGGAAATTGTCTGTTTCTCTATTACATTTCTCAATGAAGGACATAAATCCCCTAGCTAGCCTGCAGAATTTGCGACACGTTACTTTTTCTAATGTGCGCATACGTGGATCCATGCTTAATTTCTTGGGCCAGCTGGCCGCGTGTCAAGGCGAGACTCTGCAGGAACTGAGAGTGGACAGGCGTTATGAAATGAGCAATGAAGAGCTGAGGGAAGTGAGTCGAATGAAGTCTCTCCGAACCCTCGTCTGCAGTGTATCCCATGCTAAGAACATAGAAATAGAACAGCTGGCTCAACTTCCCCAGCTAGCAGTGCTGGATGTTGGTTCCCACCGAGCGGGCTCCCTGAAGAACCTTCTTGGGATTCTTGCCGCCAGCAAGGGCCCCACACTGGTACATCTGGCTGTAAGGGGCGCAAGTCTCACCCCCCAAGAGGTGACCGAAGTGTCAGCTATAGGTTCCTTGAAGGGACTCGAGTGCGCGTTCTGCAGCACAGAGGGTCTCGAAGTATTGTCACAGCGAAACTGCATCGAGCATCTGGGCATAACAACTAGGGAAGGTGAAGCCTCTCTGGTAGATCTGCTCTCTGCTTTTGCATCTTCTGGCGAATCAAATATCCAGAAATTAACTATCGATGGTCTGGCAGTCGGTCAGGAATCAATTACCGTATTAAACCTTCTTCTTCGAAATCCGAAACTGAAGTCGTTGAAGCTCCTAATCAAAGATACCCAGGGCATTGAGGGTTTGGCCGAGTCTATGCACCTCGAAGATCTGACAATATCCTGTTTCCCCAAAAGGGGTTCTCTAGCAGGTCTCTTCCGCGCTTTTTCACTGAACGACTCAACCAAATTAAATAACTTGGTTATAGAGCGCACTTTTATCGACCTTGAGGAGACTCGCCAGCTCGCGCAGGTTGGTTCAATCACAAGACTAAAGTGTGGCTTCAGAGACGGAGAAAGCTTCTCCCTCTTGGCTAAAATGACTAATCTTGAGAATCTGGAAGTCACTTCGAATAATAGTTATGGAGATATTTGTGACGGTCTCCTTGACATATTTCAAGAATGTCGAAAGCTTAAGAGTATTTTTGTGGGAAAAGCATTGTACTCCATCGAACAAATCTTCCTAAAAAAAGCACTGGACATTCTGAAATCAGTGAGAGATCCCTCAACTCAAGGTCCATTGGAGATACGGGTTTCGTCGTCTTCATATGATTATGTAGATGGCCTGGTAAGCGAAACGTATATCCCGCAGGATAGGATAGGCATACACAAAGTCTCAATTTATGTTTTCGTACTTTCAGACCTCTAGGATGACTGCCTTTAACAAAACTTATTTGATTGTCACCAACAACTGGAAAGATTCCAAGGACGAGCCTGAGAGCGATGAAGAGAGAGATAAAGAGAGCGCTGAAGAGAGTGAGAAAGAGAGCGAGGAAGAGAGCGAGGAAGGGAGCGAGGAAGAGAGCGATGAAGACGCGTATCCACTGTGCATAGGACAAAATTTCGGGCAGTGCAGTCGGCACACGTACCCCGTAAATTCAATTCAATAGAGCGATGAAGACAGCGATGAAGAGATCTACAAAGAGAGCGAATCTGAGAGCGATTAAGGGAGGACTTATCATCAATATTCAATGCACATAACAAATAAATGCAGGCTTGCGGAGCCGATACACTCGGGAATAGGCAGAGCCGCAGCTCGTTGCAGAGGGCGGCCAGTGGGTAGAAGTCCAGAAGAGTCTCTGGTGGCGCAAAGGCGGGATCCACCTGCTTGCGGGAGTGCAGCGTCACCTTGTTGATCAGCGTGAACCTCTCCAACTCCTGCTCAATGCTGGCCTCGAATTTGCGCTGCACCACGCCCATAAAGATGGGCGCCATGAGGGCCCGAAAGTCGGCACCGACGCGGCTGAAGGAGAGCCCGAAGTATATGCACTGTCCCAAGACCGTCTCAATAGATCCAACGTCGCGTTGCAGATCCTTTTCGAGGGTCTCCAAGAACGCATTGATCTGAGAAGAGCGAGACATTAAAATCAACAGGAGGGCGTACATTTTTTTATTTTTATATATTGTATTTAGTTCCCACCCCCACCCCCACCCACTCTGGCCATTCCTCATTTATGTTGCGGCAGATCAGCTCAGATCGCTACATCAGCCCTTCAAAACAAAACAAAAAACCGAAATTCAGTTCAAGCGGCCAACAATTGTAGAGCCCACACACAAGCACAGTATATGTGAATACATGGCACACACACATTTACGTAACCTGGAAACGAAACTCAAAACGCTTTCGGAAAATAAGAATTGATATTTTGTCGTGCCTGTGTACACACATACATTTGCAATTCTCTGCTTGCTTTCGCATCTCGTCATGAATCGAACATGTCGAAAAAATGTGGAACGTCCCAGGTCCACCAGCCGAAGACCTGGGGACCTGGGACAGAAAACTCAGCTGCGACACGGTCGGTGTGTGAACTGGCACATCTATATACTGTATGGTTAGTGGTACTAGGCTTTAACGAAACACTAAAACTTGACCGACTTGCTAAAAGCCACGGTAAATCTGTGTGACTTTATCGATAAAATATACCCGTCTGACCCTCAGCAATATACCGAAATATACCTTATTGCAAATGGCTGCCAATGCGTCAGTATTTAAATTTTGTTTCAGCCAACTTCACGTTGTAGAGTTGCATACAACGTGAAGTTGGACGAGGACGAGGTGTAGCGATGTAGCGGCGGAAAATGCTCGTGGTAATGCCCGGGAGCAGAGGCAGGACCTCATAAATGGGGTCGAGCCCATCCTCGCCGACATTCCCGAGGGGTAACAGAAGGTGCAGCAGCCAAAAATTGCTATTACCCCTGGGAATTTTGGGGATGCACTTTATTTTAATAAGCGCCAGACACGAGCTTAGAATCTGTGGCTTTGGTATATATTTATTATTATTGTTGAAGTATTGAACTATCCATACACATAATTAAGTGCTCAGATATCTTCAACTAATCTAGTGTGGATCATTTTTTGTTTGATTCAAAAAACTGCCGCGGAAGAAAGAGAAATTCACTTAGACTTGTGCATTGTTCTCATAAAAAAATACATTTGTCTGCAATGTGGCTTTTGTGCAGATAAAAAGAAACGGCACGTGTCCCTGCAAAGCCAGCCAAAAATTCGCATTTTGGATGGCAACCCGACGGGAATAATTGATTTAGTCCAAACTCAAAATGCCAAGCGAAGATTAGTTGCAATCCAATAACAAAGTGCAAATGCACTGAGTACTTTGGCTAGCTCAACCGTGTCATTGGGAAAGAGTAAGGTGGCTCCGCAGCAGCAAGAGTGTGCATTCGGTTCTTGGTAATACTAACGTCAATTTTATCTGAAAGATTTAAACAGCATTGACACAAAGTATCAGTGTATTGAAATGTCAATGGACTTTGATGGCAGCCCAGCTACGCGCACCCGTGCAAAAAGCCGTGGACGCAGCTGCAGCTTGGCTCCAGCCACCAAATCCCGGACAACCTGTCGTTCCAGACCCGCGCACTTCGCTGCTTACTAAATGCATTTTTTTGATTAATTTCTAATTTTGTGGAACCTATTTATAGAAAAGTAAAAACTTTTGTGTAGAAACAATGCCACATACTCTGGCTGTCATTTAAAATGCAATTTGGTGCACGCGTTTCGGAGAAATAAAATAAAATATGCGTTCAAACACACAGTAACTAAAATATTCAAATACATAGTACATTCAAATAGCAAAAGCGACCTAGCTAATATCAACTAATGCTCGAGATAGAAAGGTCAAAAATTGTGATCGCAAGTGCAGGGTGCGCAACCAGCCTTGGAGTCACCGTCTGCTCAACTGTCCCCAGAACTCCGAAAACTGTTCATATCCAAAATAGAAGAACCCAAATACATCAATATTGAAGATTTCGCCATCACTATTCTAGAAGACTAAACACGAACAAGACCATGACAACGTCACATTAATACAAGGCTTTGAAAAAGTACAGAAAGTACAAAGAAAAATCAATGAGACGCACACGAGGAAGTCTTTAAAGTGACTCAAATACGTGTCAGTGGAAAAAGCATGTGGAAGATGTAGATGTCTTCAAATAGCTATGAAAAGCCTTAAAAATATTAAAATATCAGCAATGGCTGAAAGAATTTCCATGATAGCAACTGTCTGATCTACCAGCTTTTGTTTTTGAGGATAAGAAAAGATCGCTGATGAGGAAAAGTGATTTCTTCCGAATGATTGACATTTATATATAGCTCCTATATTCCAAACAGCTTTGCCACATGCTATTTACAGCAAAGAGCCGAGAGCACAAACACATCAATCAGAGTTAGATGTTAACTGTTCAAAATTTTATTTCAAATGACGCTTCGTTTCAGCTGCGCTCCCCTTTTTATAAGTAATCGGCAACGCCACCATTTGCAAAAATGCGCAGTAGTGCTGCCATTTTAGCTTATTTCACGCTAGGTTTTTTTTTTTTAATTTTAAAAAGTGGATTAGTTTAAAAAATTTGCAAGTATCAGTTTAGCTTTTTTGTTTTAATAAAATCATTTTTTTTTTTTGATTTTATTGTTGTGTAAAAAGTATGGTATATATTTTTTGTGCAGGAAAATTTGTTCTAAGACTTCATGTGCTGTGCGGTAGGGCTGTTATCGTGTGGATGTGAGAAATACCTAAAATAAGTTATGAGCAACTTTTTCGAGATGATTGAATGGTTGTAACAGCTACGAATTACCGTCAAAATCTTTGAATTTTTTTCAAAAAGTAGAAATTTGATAAAAAAAATCCATAAAACTTTATATTTTTTGAGTTTAATTAGTCTAGCTTAATTTTGAGCTTCTTTATTCTGTTTTTTTCAATCTAGCTTATTGACTCTCTGATTCTGGCAGCACTGGTCGCCGCGTGTGTGCTTGCACGGTGCTGCTCGCCCCGGAAAAAACAGCTAGTTACGGGCGAAATCTCGCTAAGCCATCTCAAACGGACTTAAAAACGAGAAACGATGCGCCTAAGAAAAAACTCAGTGGGCAAAAACTTCCTGAGCGATATCGCTAATGAGAGCTACGGGAAACTCAAGCGTGTAAAACTATTGTTTTGAGCTCCAAAACGATCAAAATAAATCAGTTGTCGCTTAGTAAAATTTAATTTTCGATAGTTCGAAAACGGATCGTTTGGGGACCTTTTATGATATCTTTTGCGAATCAATTTTAATGTCATTAAAGAGCCGAAAGAAGAAAGAAATTTTTTACGGCAAAAACTGTTTTCTAGGCTCTGTACGGAAGGCAGTACTCAACAAAAAAAAGGTCGGTATATACTGGAAAAGTATCCGAAGTATTTGCTTGTTTTTTTGGTATGTTTAAACCCACCTCGAAAATTATATCAATTTGATATATTTTGCCAGCAAACACGAAGCAAACATTGCAATATGATAACAAAAAACCAAATAAAATATTTAAATAATGAAGACAATTAGAACGCAGTATTATATGAATAACAAGGTCGGCACGGGAGGCGTCGCCACCTGCTGCTGCTGATAGTCAGACACATTACCTTGCCAATAAAATATTGGGGAGCCCAGGATATGCTTGGGGACGAGCGACGCCAGCCGAAGAAGTGCATTTTATTAACTTTAATTAAAACCAAGCAGCTGTCTGAGCAGTGTAACCGTACGGAATGCAGTGCAAACCTCTGGTCACACAGAATAATATATATGGAAGAATATATGACATTTGTTTGCTGGCAAACAGTTTTTGGATCTGAGTACTAGGCTGAAATGTCTACATCTTCTCCGCAAATGTCGCGCATTGCACAGGGCAGTGTGTGCGAGCGAGAAAGAGATTGAGTGTCGTGGTCTCTTGCTGTAGGAGGTGTACGAAGCAATTTCTTTATTCTGGCTATAATAATGTTCCGATCTGATTCAGATTCGGCAATCTGGTACATATTGGTATTCTCTACGATACTGCGTTTTTAGTTTTATCGTATCTCTAAAATTGTGGCTGCCACAGATTTTGATCCTTTGTGGGGGTGGGGCGAAATATACTTGTAGTAGATTGATATCACATGAGTCTGGAAACATTTTTTAATTGCTTTAGCTCTTATAGTCCCTGAGATCTAGAGTGCCTAGATGATCGCCATCAAGACGGACGGACAGACCGACATGGCTATATCGACTCGGCTATTGATGCTGATCAAGAATATATATACTTAATGGGGTCGGCAACGATTCCTTCTCTGCGTTACAACATCAACTTTTACCACAAATACAAAATACCACATTTTTTTATGTTAGTGTTGACATAGCGACGAACCGATCTGAAAATCTAAGAAATCAGAGCGTTGAAAAATAAGAAATACTACAAGAATTATTTGTTGCTTATATCCTAATATGATTAAACGATAGTCACCGACTAGCCCACCCCTAGCAATAAATGTCATCCCCAAAATGTGGTAACGCACACACACAAGGCAGCCATTTGCAAAACGAAGCCGATTCAGCGGCTATAAAAAGGGAAGCACCTCACAACCGATGCCTCATTTGTCCTCGACCATTTGAACACTGAACATTGAATTCTGTGTATCTTATTTGCTCCATTGCCAACATTTACATTTTATTCTCCTTGATGGTGGTCACGGCAAAACCTCTGCATCCAAGTAATTGGCAGAATATTATAAATATGTATAAAAATATCACATATTAAGTTTGGGCGTTGGATGGTTGACTGGATTCAACTGCACAGGCTACGGCGGATATATGGAAATAATAAAATAATTCAGTACGTCCTTTTTCTCGTCCTCCTCCTCGCTTTCCTCATCGTTTTCCTTGCCTTGCGTTCCGTCTCATTGCCACCGACTTGCCCTACTTCCGCATATTGGACGGAGAGAATATTACTAAGTCTAATATTTTGGAAAATCATCGTTGTTTTCTACTGCAGTTTGACGAGTCAAAAAATATTTAGTAGCAAATGACTTAATTGATTATTATTTTTAAGGATTGTATGTAAATATCTTATACCTTTTCGGACCCTATGATTATCTTGTTGATTATCCCTATTGGATAATCAACATCCCAATTGTGCTTTAGTCAAAATATGGTCATATGGATATGGTCAAAATCACCAATCCTCGCACCTCGTCAATTGCTCGAGCCGGCCCTGCCCCCTTCAACTTCAACTTCGAATTTTCTTTGAAAATGTTCCTTTCCTCATCAGTGCAGTTGGCGCAATTTGTCGGGTACTCTTCGCAGGCCTGTGGGCACCCTTATCTTAAGTCATGTCTCAAATAATCTTTAATCTGTGGCTTTTAATTCTAAGATTTTTGATTTCTTAATTATAATTAATTACACTAATCAACACGATTTTTCCTCAAGGAACAAAACGAACTTTTTCTTAAAGATTTGGGGCTTAGAAATGGTTTGATGATATTTTTTTTTTTCTATGGCAGAACTTTTTTTTGAAGTATTTTTGAAAACTGGTATTTTTTTTAAAGCTTTTTTCAGAGGTAGCGCTTGTTTTTTTCACATAGCTCTAGTATCTTACGTCTGGTTGTAAAGAACTTTGCTATTTTGAAAAGATAATTTAAAC